CGATTCACACCACCCCTAGAACAGGTAGCTTCACAATAACTTTGAAGCCCGGCTCTGATTGCTGATAAAATTGATGTTAATAATTAAAAAGACGTTTCGTGAAACACTTGGAAGATCAAGCAATATAACGTTGTTTTTATGGACACTTTTGTACCCTAGGTATCCAATACAGGAAGGAATATCCAGTTGTTCATCTGTCGTTGAAATTCCAAATGAACATAGACAGACCTATGATTATTCAGGATTTCCACCTTGGTAAGTTTCGTGGGGGTACATGTTGAGTGTCCAAGTGAATTGTCAATACCTGATTCATTTATTAAGCAGTTTATCAGGGACAGTCTATAGTAGACTGTCCCTGAGTTTATGTAATATGATTTACAAACAAAAACGATGTTGTTCAGGGCTTTATCTGCGGGGACAAGAACAAATTAGTCATGGAGGTAGGACAGGTGCTTTGAAACATTTGGGTTTTTAAAGATCGATGTAGCTTGTGTTTTCATAGACCCATTCAGCCTTTTAATTTAAAGGAATAGACCACTTTCCTGTTATGTCCTTCACCGGAAAAGTTCATTAAGCGTCTTTGTGATCGTCATTATGCAGGATAAACTGAAATAATTGTTGTTCGGTAGGTACTTAATCTCAATTTCCCAATGACAGCAGTGCTAATTATCAATTATAAGAATTTCATTTGCCGAATAATTCGTGCAATATAGCATCATATTTTTTCAACCACTCGCTCAATATGGGAAGGAAGTGACGATGCCCCTAAACACACGAATGGTGTTCACATAAACCAAAGTTTTTGACGAAAATTCAACGAATTCAAAAGTGGTCTATTCAGACACAGTTTTTTTTTTATTTACAGATTAATATATCTACTTTAAATGATAGCCAAAATGCAAAAATGGGTCATAACTCCGGATCTTATGAGGAGTCGACAAATGACTTTGGTCATCTTTGACCATTGTATATCTAAGACTTGTTGATCATTTTGCTGTTTAAATTTCTCGTTGTCCACTATATTTTTTTCAATGCAATAGCTCAATATGAAAATTGGGTAACAATTGACATTTCAGTCATGTTGACCTATTTGTAGACATTTCTATCTAGCCATCATTGCTTGTTAAACTTTCCTTTCATCTATTATAATTTCCCAAATCATAATATTAACAACAAAAAAATGGCAATAATTCCAATAAAAAGTCCATTTAAGATATTCATCATATGACTTTTTGTAGAAGTTTTGTTACTTTTTACAATAATGATAAGCATAAGTGACCAGTATGCAATTTGTTGTTTGTATCAAGTTGAAGTGCACATTTTTTCAGTATTATTGGCTCTCTAAGTCTTCAATCTGGAACTAATACATGATTGTTGGTCTATCGAGATTTTTGTTGAAATCAACATTAAAATCATTCCATTTGGTTACTGCAAAGTTGTAGTTTTTGTTACTTGAAATGTTGATTTTTTCTTAACTAAATTATTATAGACTTACCATTTAACCATTTCTATATAAACCATCCAATATACAATAGAGGTCAAGAGCTGTGAAATAAGTGTTTATTACAGGGAAAGGATAACTAATGTCCAGATGCTAGGTTATTTAAACTTTTATATGCATATGTTAATTGACAAAGGCAAGAAGTAATCTCATTTTACTGCAACTAAAACACAACTATTCAGCATGTATGTAACCAAAATGTTTGATAGTTTGGTCAATTTAGATCAACATGAATAGGTGGAGTTTCAAAATAAAACTCCACATTTGTCTTTTTTTAGTGCCATATGTAACTATGACTTGTAGTTGCTGAGAAATTTTTTTTTTTTTATGACACCCAGATACAAAGATTAACCAGTATATCTATCTTCTTTCAATCTTGAGTATAAAAACTGGTGTTATTGTAGATACATCTCATTGTGCTGGTTCTTTTTGCAGTTCATAATTTTAACCTAGCTTCTATAGTTTTCATGATAACAAACCAATAACTGTTAAACAGGGAGGGGAATCAATATTTCAGGGGCAAAAGCTCTAAAAAATAGTAGTTAAGATTTTTCTCCCATTTTCGGGGTTGGTACATATTGTCATTCTGATAATTTTTGCAATTTACACTTTTAACCTAGCTCCTATAGTTTTTGAAACAATGGCAAAAAAAAGCCAAAAAATCCACATTTCAGAGCAATCAGAGGCAATAACTCCAAAACAAGGCGGGCAGATTTTAAATTTTCAGAGTAGATAAAACTTGTGCTGACAATTTTTTGTGTTTTTCTCCAACTGCTATAGTTTTCGAAATATCAGCCAAAACTGTTGTTCTATTCTTAGACATGGTAGCTATAGACGTATTTACACTTGTATGCAAATTTGTCCGCCATTACGTAAAATCACACAGGTTCCCGTAAACTTTGACATCATAATTCAAAAGATTTGACGTCACAATTAAAAAGTGATTGCTGCCTGACGTTAAAAGGTGATTCGGAGTAGATCTAAGGTCATTCGGAGGCAAAATATAGCTAAATACCAAAAGTGTAAATACGTTTATTTTGGTCAACCTGGACAAAAATCACAAACTTTGTAGTTGACATCCTATAGATGAAGCAGACAAACTTTGCTTTCAATCCATGAAGAAGATTTTTAAATAAAAGTTTACTGAAAACGGGCAGACTTAAGCAAAGTGATGGCAAGTCCAGGTGAGCTAAAAACAACAGCATAGGAACACTTTAATAGGAATCAAAGGAGTGGTAGAGGTTATTAAAACAGCAACCAAACCACACAACAAGAACAGAGATGTCAAATTGACAGCAAACTGGATATTTTCTGTATTGATAATCATTGTTTAACTTAATAAGAGGGCAGGCAAAATATACTGTTTTATGCATCTACAGAAATATGGAATTTAAACTTTAAACTTTGACAAGCATCCATTGAAAGGTACTTCAGTTATTGCAGGGAAATGACAGAAAGTGCCAATTTACAATCAACCAAGGACCATAACTCCTGAAAGACAAATGTAAAAAACAGCAATATAGAACTTGATCTCCATTTTGTGATCAGTAACAACATATTAAAATTTAAAAAACATCTTTTGAAAAGTCTCAAGTTATTGCATTGAAACAACATAAGGTACCATTTTCAAATGTAACAAGAACAATGCCATCTGAATGGCAAAAGAGAAAATCGTAAATATCTAATTTGACCTGTATTTTGTGATTTGTAACAACATATTAAAATTTCAGAAATTGCACAGAAACCGCATACAAGTGCCATTTTCCAATCAAACAAGGACAATAACTCCAGAAAGACAAACCTGAAAATTGTCATTATCAAACTTGACATCCATTTTATGATAAGTAATCAAATATCAAAATTTTAAAAACATTGGTTTAACTGTTTATCAAGTTATATCACACAAAACATAAAGTGCCATTTCCCATTCAACCATTCCTCCTGAATGACAAAAGTGAAAAAAGTCAATATCGAACTTGACCACCAATTTGAGATCATTAACCACAAATCAAAATTTAAAAAGCATTGGTTAAACAATACATAAGTTGGAGCTGCCTACATACTCACCATAAACTATTAACACAGAGATATGTCTCGCCTATTTGTTATTTTGATAATGCAAATGTTGAATTCAAAATAGCAATACTTTAACATGCAAGTTATGCAAATATTCAAAGTCAATGAACCATGACTGAAGTTACAGGGCTAAACCATCTCCATAGAAATGAGATGTGCCAATGCTAATACAACTGCATACCAAATACCATTGACTTTTCATAAGTTGTTCCCTTTAAACAAAGCTAAACACAAACATTAACTTGTAAACTATGTAAAAGTCGATGAACCATGAGGGGGTGGGGTTATATAATCTCCATGGAAATGAAACTTGCAAATTCCAATACACTTGCATATCAAATATCATTGACTTAATATTAGAGGTTCATCTTTAACTGACCTAATCACAAAATAATACATGTAAACTAAGCAAAAGTTTCAAAGTCAATAGACCATGACTGAGTAGTAAGGACCAAATATTCTCCATGGAAATATGATGTGCTAATGCTTATACAACTGCATACCAATTTTCATTGACCTACCACTAACGTTCCCCTTAAACTGACCTAATCACAAACTAATACATGAAAATTAAGTAAAAGTTTCAAAGTCAATAGACCATGACTGAGGGGGTGGGGCCAAATAATCTTCACGGAAATGAGATATGCCAATGCTTATACAACTGCATACCAAATGTCATTGATCTACCACTAGTAGTTCCCCATAAACTGACCTAATCACAAACTAATACATGAAAACTAAGCAAAAGTTTCAAAGTCAATAGAGCATGACTGAGGTGGGGGGGCCAAATAATCTCCATGGAAATGAGATATGCCAATGTTTATACAAATGCATACCAAATATCATTGACCTACCACTAGTGGTTCCCCATAAACTGACCTAATCACAAACTAATACATGTAAACTAAGCAAAGTTTCAAAGTCAATAGAGCATGACTGAGGGGGCAGGGGCAAATAATCTCCATTGTAATGAGATGTGCCAATGCTAATACAACTGCATATCAAATATCATTGACCTACCACTAGTGGATCACCATAAACTAACCTAATCACAAACTAAAACATTGTTGACGCCGCCAACGCCGGAAACAGCATACCTATGTCTCGCTTTTTTACTCCGCCAAGGCGAGACAATAAAACCAGATTAATAAAATCAAAAGAAGCAACTAGAGCTCAATATATTGTCTACAACAGTAGATCTGTGTCCATACAATATTTCAAGCTCTAAATCACCCTGAGACTCATTTAAGTTGTGGATAACTGAACTAAATCTTTCACATTCATAAATGAACAAAAAAGGTATGAACAACAATGACTGATGATGGTCTTGAATTTTTTCTGTGTAATATCCCCATTCAAATTTGGTTAACCTGGCTTCTTGTCAGTTGGGAAATCTTTTTTTCTAATAAAACAGACAAGTGTATAAGTTTATAAAATAATTTAATATGAGTAATGTGTGCCCATAAACAATGGTAACATGTACAATGAACCATTAGAAATACAATCATCCATAAATAATGTGACAATGAAAACTTTGGCAGATACTACCTAAATATATTATTATCTATTAATGGAAAAAGCTGCTAAGTTACGTATTATAACTAACTTATATGTGTTTCTTTGCTATATGTTAACTTGTACTTCCAGACTTTTTCTGGTATATTACTTAATAATATGAAGTTACAACTTACATTTGGAAAATCACAATATTTTACTAAATACAAAGATTTCAATATAACCATTTTGTTTCTTATAAATAAAAATCTATGAATGATTATGTTTTCCTTGTGTAAAAAAATAAGAGGAGCATACATAAAAAATATCAGATGTAAATTTTGATTTGAATGAAAGCATGAGTCTACATCAATCAATGCTCTTATAAACACTAGAATTCATTAACAAATTAACTATTGGTAACATACAAACAACTTTTAAAATTTGTAAAAACTTCACAATCTATACCAAAGTGTCAACCATAACCATGATAATAAACATTGTCAATCAATACTAAGAACAACAAAAATCATTGATACCACTGATATATAAGCTAATTTAATATCTTATGTAATCTTTGAGGTATTCATTTAATCGCTTCTTACAATTCTACCTCAGTCTACCATTTACAATTCAAAAATGGAATTCAAACAATACTATTAAGAATACTCTTTTCTTTGAAATACAAAATAAGAAAATTATGAACATTTCCTTTCCAAAAATATTAAAGCTTTGATAATCTTCCAACAAATACCCTCCAATAGTTAAGCATAAAAATATGAGCACACACAACCTTATAATGAACTGTTGACAAGTTTGTTTTGATATAAATATTGTTGATTATAATTTCTGACTAGTACCAGAGGTTAAATAATTTATAATGTATCTAACTGAATGAAGCACTAATGCTTAATTACATGGCAAAAACTATTGCATTATCATATATTTTGTACATTTTTATACAATATAAAAAGGGGTAATTGCTGATATCTATTGCTTTATATTGGGTATTTACATAAGCTAACATTTAAAATGCAATGTCATGTTTCATTTATTTAAAATTTGGCTATTTGATGTTGAAATAATGCTTAAAAAATATCAATACATAAAAACACATAGAGATTGTCAGCTACATTCCTGGAATTCCTTGAATATAAAGACATTATTGGTCCCTAATTTACAATATAAAATTCCTGGTTATAAAAAGTCATTTATTTTTTTCTTACATATTTTGACAAAATCAATATCCTTAAATGAGTAATTAAGCTCTTTACCTGTATTTCCCTTTTAAAACTTTCATATTCATACCTAAATTGTATAAAATTACTTTTATAATTTTTACTGTGGCAAGAATACAATACTTTGGCAACACATATTTTTATCAAATACATGTCAATTAACTTGAATTTACTATGAGTAACATCATATAGTGTCAAATATCATTTGATTTTGGACCAAATTATTTTGGACCCTCAATCTGAGACAGTAATCTGTCCACGAAAATAAACACATAAATATGCACATAGACATGGTTAAACATTCCAACACATATACTTGCTGATCTATCTTCAGAACAAGTTATTAAGTCAAATAAAATTACTACGTAAGAGAGGTCCATATACGTCACATTTAAAATCTTCATAGTATATTCTGAGACAACCCTTCAAGATGAGGACAACATAAATTATGTATGCAGCACCAGTATATATCACAGTTATGTAGATCACAGCGGACAATATTCAGAAGATTCTGAACTGATACTGGAAAGCGTGGGGCTACCGCCACGGAGATTTTCTTCTGGGAGATTCTGGAAAACAAGAAAAATCAAAATCACAATGTGTCATTACACTGTTATACAAGAAGTAACATTTTGTAATTCAAAATATTTTCATGTGATTGCTTGTACTTCTCAAAATCTGTGAAAATTTGCAAAATACTGCTTTCATAATCAATATATAACTAGTTGCAAAGAAAAGGCTTATTTCTTGTTTTTATTTCTTTTTAGAACAAACCATACATGTTCTTGCTTGAACAAATGTTGAATGAAACAAGAAGCCAAAGTAATGTAAATTCAGAAATTATTGTGATATTTTTATTAATGTGAAAACTAAAATTCATTAATTCAATAGTGATTTTCCTTTACAAATTTTTGCAATCCCATAAATTAGATCTCCCATTTTTGCCAGTAGTTAAGGATTTGCAATAAGAAATACATGTATTAATTTCTGAATTTACAGTAATCAGATGTCAAAGACTTGATTCATTGTCTGCTAACCACAAAAATTAAGACGAAATTTGCATATTTTTTTGGGGCAAAATCAGGGCAAACACATAGCATATATCCTCTATCCACTAATCTTAATGTCATATATTAAAAATGAATAAATTTTGTACTTGGGACATGGTTTATTAGTTGAAAAACTTAATATTGTACTCTGTCTGTCAATGAGAAAGTCTTTGTTGCCCCCTCCCTCCCCCCCAAAAAAAATAAAATAAAATAAATTTAAAAAAAGGTCTATCAATGAAAATAATTCCTGGATTTTTTTCCTCCACAAAAAGTTCAAAGGTATTATATCAACAATATCCTGGTTAATATCATGTTTCTAATTTTCTAATATGACTCAAAAGATATGGGGCCTATCTCAATGAGACAGACCCTTACAGGTTGAATTTCCAGACTGAGATGATCTTTATTTTTGTACTAGAATTGACTAATAACAAAAATACCTCAAAAAAAAATAAAAAATGGGATCTTGACATTTTCAAAGTATACAAAACCCTTAAATAATAATATCTTTAGCAAAATTTGTATTTTATATTCTACTTAATAAATTGAAAATTGTGTACATTTTAGCTCAAACATTTACGAACAAGAAAAATCAATAACACTGTGTGTGGAAAAGACACTCTTCAAATGGTGAACAGTCCTTCCTTAAATCGTCTGTACTTGATGTGAAAATGAATACTGTATACCCAGTCTTTAAACCATGTTTTTATCAGATTTACTACTGATATCTATTTCAAGCAGTTTTACTATTTATTCTAACTTCTAAATATCTCATATAATATATAAGATATCTCATAAACAAGGAATTATTTAAATCTGGAATAATTCTGAATTCTGGAAAATTCATAAAAAAGGCATAATGAAAACTAACCCAATTTAGGAGGGAAAGCCATGCATGCATGGCTACGGGGGGTTAGTTAGTTCATACTGTAATATCAGTATAAGTAAAGTTAACCTTAGCCATGTGCACATGGCTAACCCTATTTAGTTGGGTTAGTTTTCATCATAAGTTTCTTATCAATTTTCCAATATTCAAAATTATTCCAGATTCAAATAATTCCTTGTTCATATAATATATATAAGATATCTTATATAATCTAGTTTTTATAAGATATCTTATAAATTTTATAAGACATCTTATATACTCTATAAGATATCTTTTCAAGTTTATAAGATATCTTCTAAAGTTTACAAGATATCTTATATACTTTATATATATACTTTATATGATATCTTATATAGAAAATTATATATCTTATGAATATTTTTTATATAAGATATCTTATATACATTATAAGATATCTCATATATTTTATAAGATATCTTATATAGTTTATAAGAAATCTCATCTAGTTTATAAGATATCTCATATAATTTATAAGATATCACATAAAGAAAATTATATGAGATATCTTATAACCAATATAAGATATCTTATAAAGTTTATTAGATATCTTGAATTTAGAATAAATAGTAAAACGGCTTGCCTTAGATATCCTCCCGCAACACCTTGCCATTTAAATTTATCCCAAGTTTCCAGTGGACAAATAGTAAAATCAAAAACAAAAAATCTCCATTTTTCATCCAGTTTATCTAATATGACATAGTAGCTACAATCAAATATGCATTTATAACATTTTTGATAGTTTATCAAATGCTTAAAATTTATCTTTTTATTTTAAAGGATAAGAGTACAGTATTCATTTTGAATTCCACACATGTGGTGTAAATCATTAAAATCATGTTGTGATGGTTTGTGGGAGGTAAGAAAATGCTGACCACTCTCCAATTCCCTTCACCAAATTCCAAACTAAAATAAAAAAAGTAACAAATACCAGTATCCTAGTAGCTCTACAGAGAAAATAAAATAAAATTCAGTATGGCATCTGCAATGGTAAATTCTGCAAGGATAGGTTTGTAATAATTCTACCATCTTATTTAACCTCTAACCTATGGTAAATACATCAAACCATTTTCTGAACTGGAAGATTTAAGAGCAACATATTTCTGATTAATATATATACTTTATAAACCTTTATTCACTTCCCTACTTCAATTCTGTTTAATATCCCCTCTGAAAATGGTTCAATGGTTGAAGCATATTTTAAAATTAAACCAAAAATGAATTCTATCATTCCTTACATGCTGTTCTGTCGATGATATATCTCCTTCCTCACCTTGGCAACATGATATACACATATAATTATATCAGATATATATAGATAAAGATAAAAGATTTCTTAAAAACAGATCCAAAAAGTTTTCATTATAATTCTATTCTGAAGATAAACATAAATGGTTTAAAATGATCTGTAAAATTTTTGCTATTCAACAAGATGACTCCTTTATTTATCTTCCTTGACTAATACACCTATAATAAGTGCAAGAAAAGTTCTTTATGTTTACAAATGAAATATCTGATTCACTTTTGACATATGGTTCTGACACAAGTATCATATAGTACAGAAAAGTGACGGTCCGAAGGATTTGACAACCAACATTTTGCAAAGGACTGACACAATTTTGGTATTTTGCAATAGAAATAATAGTGAGGACCAGGAGATTTTCTCAAAGGACCACCAGGGTTAAAAACATTTTGCGAATTGTGATAGTAGTACATAAATGCATTGTGACAAATTTGAATACATCCTTGTATACGTAATTGGGTGATATTTCTGATTTTCATACAAGTTTGTATGCATTCAGAACTTGTTGAACTGCATCTATCCAACAATTATACTACTTGTATACAATCAATTAAAAATCTGTGAAAAACATCTGTAAGTAAACCAAAAGTACATAAAAAGCAGCAAAAAATAGTATTTTGTTCACTTTAAATTGCCATGTCTTGAAAACCAGACCACAGAATTTTGTAAATGTAACATGTCACTGCTATAAGCATTTCCCTATGGTATAAAATTGGTCATTACAAGCATTTGTTCATAGTATAAATCAATTAGCTTTTATATTTAGACTGAAAATAAGGCACAAGCACAAAAAAGGCAAATAGCTTCACACTGCAAAATCTTAGAAAATCCTTTTAATTGTACTTTTTAATTGCATTCCATACATCTAAAGCTATATTTCACAAATTTTATGTAACTCTATCTCTAGAAGTTTACATTCTGCATGTAGTTATTTTCAGTAATTAGATGCAACTTAGTGATTTCTAATTGCATACTTTTTCTTTTTTAAATCTGAAATATTGCCCAATTATATATTCTTTGCCTTTCACAAGCATTATATATTGTTTTCAAAAAGTATTTATCAGTTGAGTTGTTTTCTTGATCCTTTTAATTTGTATTAATCCTGAAAATATTGAAGTTGTTTAAATCTAGTTTTGTATAACTCTCTAAGTCAAGGATTTCTATCAGTCACTGCCAAGATTTTCTTTCTCCAATACATTTTTTTCTATTTTTGATGAGTTTTACTAAATGACCTTTTTTCTGGGTCAGAAGTGTGAAATATTATGAACACATTTATTGTGTATCCGAATAAGTTTCCTGAATAAAAAGCTAGTCACTGCAAAGTTCTCATTTGTTTAATGCATTTGTAACTTTGATGAGCTGAAATTAGTTTGATTCATAACCTCATTTATTGTGAGGTTATGCACAAGTCCTCACCAAGAAATATAAATGTAAATTATCATCATTGAGTTCTTATAGTTTATAGAAGTACATTTAATTTGTGAAAACATATATTCAAAATGTTAAAAATGGATACAAAGCACATATTCTATGCAACTAAGTTTTAATCCACAGACATTTATGATGTTAAGATCAATCAAGAGCAATTTTGACTCAATTTAGTTGTTCAATCCCTTAGATTTATTGAGTTTTAACAGCTCATTGTAAAAAAAGATGTTTTATTTATTTGACATATGTACTAACCACTATCTATGCTGCCAAGCTTCTTTTGTAGACTTTCTAATCTCTCTATATAACTGTCTTGTAATGAAGGCTGGTCATCAACTATTCTCACTCTCCGCTGTGGCTGTGGACTTTCTCTGTCTCTACTTACAGTTGGTGATGATGTTGGTGTGGACAGGATTTTTCTACAAATATATTTTTAATTGTTATATCCATAGAAAAGGATTTGGAGAATATCATCCTTGTATTCTTGCTAAAGTACTTTATGAGTATCAGCTAATTCTCTTATTACATAAACAAGCAATGCTTTTTTTTGGATTTCACGTACAATTTTGTTCTCATCTTATTTGTTTTCAATTACACAATTGTTATTTGCTAACATTGAAATCCTCCATTAAATATTCCTAAAATTCAGAATATTCTGTTTCAGATAAGTTATTCGACAAGTCAACAGAAATTCTCAATGGATCAGACTGAGCAATTTTTGTAAGAAGTGCCTAGCAGACCAGTATCTGTTGAAGTTGATTCATGCAAGGAACTGTAAGAATTCTCTTTTGAATTGGCATTGTAGAGAAAATGATTGATTGATTGGTGTTTAACACCACTTTCAGCACTATTGTGCTATTTCTTGGCAGTCAGTTTTTATTGTTGGAGGAATCCGGAGTGGCCAAAGAGAACCACTGACCTTCAGTGGAAAATTGACAATCCTAATCAATTAAGATTGTAGTCGAGTGCACCTGCCATGTGCAGTATTCCAACTCATGACCTCAGTGTTGACAAGCTAGTGATACAGTAGTTCAACTACTTAGAACAATCGGCCAAGAGGTCCCTAGTGAAAAGGACTAATTCTGTTAATAATTATAGTAATTTTTTTTCCAAAAAAAAATCAACTCTTTTCTCATTTATATAGAAATTGATAAACATACCTTCTAGCACCAGAGGTTTGTAACGATGGTGATGATCTATAATCTTTTGACAAGTCACCATTCAGACCTGGTAATGTACCATTGGTATATGGTGATGTACGACCATTAACTGCATGTGTTGAAGATGGATGAAAATTAAGGTCGTGACCTACAATTGGTGACCCATACATCTGACCTAGGGAAGTTGGATGTGGTGAGGATGTTGTACGGAATCTTTGAGATGTTGTAGACAGATATGGTGACATATGATATAGACCATTAATGCTGGTATGTGGTGAAGAGGAAGATCTGGCATGAGGAGAATAACTCCTATTGGTTGGCATGTAACCTGCAATCAAAAATGTATCCAAAATATGGTTAATTTGTATAGATATGATAAAGTCCATTTTTTGCTGCTTTAAACCCCCCAAAATTAATCCAATAGGAAAAACATTATGTTAGAAAGATTCTATGAAAGTTTCATTTAAACAAGGTCATTGTTTTTGTTATTGCTAATACAAGATGACTACCCTTTTGTAGTTATAGCAAGATTCACATAGATATATGTGAAACCCCTAAAATCTTTTTGATAAAAAAATAAAACATTTGCTGCACAATGTCATTAAAAGCAAAAGAGTTTGTAAAAGTTTCAGTGAATCTAATGTCATGTTTAGGAGGTGAGTAGTATACTAAATGCAAACAGAAGAAGAAACAAATGGATGAACAAAAGGATCACTATACACTGCTGCCTAAGTAAGCAGTGGAATAGTAAAGAATCTTTCTCTTACCTTGCTGGGAATCAACTGTACCAGATACTACAGGAGAACCAACTCTTGTTGCTCTCTTCCATTTGTTGACCAGAAACTTCATTCTAAAACAAAAAAATTATATAATAATTTTATGCTAAACGTTCATCTATGCCATTTGTTTTTAATAAAAACAAGTGAAACTGCGAGCTACTGCTCACTGATGATACCCACGCCGCAAGTGGATAATTTTAATAGTGTAAAAATATGTAAGTGTTCGGTAAACAGGAAGTTGTTGAGTGATGAATCTGAAAATGCATCACACAGTATAGCTGACTTATATAAACCCTGAAACCAAATTTCAGAAATCCTTGTATTGTAGTTTCTGAGAAAAATGTGACGAAAATTTTCAACTTGGCTATCATGTGTAAAATGATACAAGTGTTCGGTATGCAGGAAGTTGTTGAGTAATGAATCTGAAAACGCATCACACGGTATAGCTGACTGATATAAATCCTGAAACCAAATTTCAGAAATTCTTGTAATGTAGTTCTTGAGAAAGATGTGACGAAAATTATTCATGGGACGGATGGACGGACGGACTGACGGATGGATGGACTGACGGACAGACAGAGGTAAAACAATATATCCCCCACTTTTTTAAAGCAGGGGTATAAAAATCAATAAACATTACTTGACACATCATTGATATCATATACTAATGCATTTGAAGGAGTGGTATGGAAGAGTCATTATGTAGCCCCTGAAATTGCATAAGAAGTTAAATACTTCAACCCTTTCAACATGGCTAATTTGATTTATATATTAATAGGATGATATACTGGTACATGTATTAAAATAGTAGTCCTTGAGGTCATAGTTCAATGTCAAATGTCACATCAAAGGTTACATGACACATTGTCTTAAGTTGATGTACCCATATACAAAACATCAAAAGTATTTTTCAAACAATAAAAAACTAATGGTAATAACTAATGATATTTTAAAAAGCTTATATCTTTAACTCTCAAGATATACAATTGTTATTATAACAAATTACCAATTAGAAGGCTATTGACCTCCAGATCTCTTTTGGTTCTTAAGTAACACAGGACTGTTGTTTCATTGAAGAAAACCACACATCTATTATTCTATATATACTTTTTATCATATTAAATTACCTACAAACTCAAATATATCTGTAAAATCTGATAATTGTGTAAGAACAAATACCCAGACATAAGTACAAACACTGACCTACTAACAGCCACAACTACTCTAGCAGCACTTCTAAAAATAGTGTATAATCGACTGTGTGATGTACGAGGCTGCATGTCCTGAGGTGATGGAAAAGCCCCCATTCTGGCTATTAATGCTAAAGTAGTTTGTTCACAGTCCTGGAAACCACCCAACAATAACAACAGGTACTTTTTCTGGTATATCAGTGCCTTTCTGTAACTCTCTGTCCTCAAATATTTACCATACAATCTCTGCATCTGAAATAACAACAACTTATATTTGTAAAATGTAGATCTTTTTGTTTGTTAGTTACATTTAAATTTTCTAAAAATAGAATAAAAACAAGAATGTGTCCATAGTACACGGATGCCTCACTCGCACTGTCTTTTTCTATGTTCAGTGGACTGTGAAATTGGGCTCAAAACTCTAATTTGGCATTAAAATTAGAAAGATCATATCATAGGGAACATGTGTTTTAAGTTTCAAGTTGATTGGACTTTAACTTCATCAAAAACTACCTTGACCAAAGACTTTAACCTGAAGTGGAACAGATGGACGGACAGACAAAGGAACGGATGAACGAACGAAAGGACGCACAGACCAGAAAACATAATGCCCCTACTACTATCGTAGGTGGGGCATAATAATGTTCAACAGTAATATGTAAGGACATATTTGTAAGTGCTTCTACATTTTTTTTATTTCAAAGTGGTATGTTTATTTCTTACATCAACAGCATGAACAATGGAATACTTATAATACTGTAAATTCAGAAATATTGTGAGGTTTTAATTATTTCAAATAATGCAACTATTTGAGTATCACATTAACAAGAACTTAACATGCAGTAGTTAATTTTCCTTATTTAGTATCATGACTTATGTAATATTTTCACAGTAGTTTCTTAATTCATCCCACAAGATTGACCTTCCTTATTACCTATAGAGAGTTCATAATCTTTTTAAACTTACTTAAACTGATTAATTCATGCTATCCACATGATTAACTCTCACATTCGCAAGGGCCTGAACTCTTTATACAATTAAAATGTGTCAGGAATCCAGGATTTTGATTGGTGCTCTCTGGATGAGAGAGCAAATCAACTGGTAGCATAGTGTTATCGAGATTGGTGAATAAAAAGCTAATTTCCAATGATTAACTGAGTATTTTTCATTGACTAGACCTTCAGGCGTTAATGTAGCTATGAAAAAGCAGAAGAAAATGAAAACTGAATTGTTCTGGTAAAAACTTACTTTATCTTTGTCATGATCAGATAGAACACCAGATGATGGCAATGTAGATCTTCTATCTCTTTCTATTTTTAGATCATGTTGTTGCTGTTCTATCTGTCTCTCAGCATCATTGAGTGAAAGCTGTAGAGAAAGCCTCTCTTTGGCCCATTCTGCTTTATCTTCTAAATGTTTGTCAGTAAAATGTGAATTGGTCTGGTCCCCATTCTAAAATATTACAAATCAAATACATCATACATTCCAGTATTGACACTTAAAAGTTTTTCAACTATCTCAGACCCTGTACATGCATTTTAGTTGCTGCTGTGAAATTAAGTGTTGAGATTTCTTGTTTTCAGCCATTCATTTTACATAATCATTGCCTCTGTGTTAGACTGACAGATGGTTAATGATAAGGTGTCAAAGGTCAGAGTGATCTGACTTTGGAATATGACACATCCTCAGCCCATGATGCAACTACATACCAAGTCTGGCTTACAAAAGTTTTACGGTTCAAAAGATATGCCCTGGACATAGTTATACTATCATAAGGGTTAAAGTCAATGTCAGAGTGATCTGACTTTGTTATATGACACACTCCCAGCCCATGATGCTACAGCATACAAAGTTTGGTTAACCGATGTTTTACGGTTAATAAAATATGTCCCAGACAAGTTGTACTATCATAGGGTCAAAAGTCAAAGTCAAGGCCAGAATGACCTGACTGGTATATGACACACCCCAGCTCATGATGAAATTGCATACCAAGATTGATTAACCTAAGTTTTATGGTTCAAAAGATATGTCCCAAAGAGGGTTTTACTATCGTAGGGGTCAAAAGTCAGTCAAGGTCAGAGTGATCCGACTTTGACATGACCCCAGCCTATGATGCAAGTGCATACCAAGTTTGATTACCATCAAGGAATGTGTATAGTGCGCACATTTATACCCTGGGTCGTGTTTCTTGTAAGAGAGGTGGGCATTATACATGCTTACAAACATTTTTTTAAGTCTTTTTTCAGGTCCAAACTCTGACAAAGAAAATACCAGGTGAAGTGATGAGTATGGAATTTTTTGCTAAAACCTTGATTGTTACTATGTTTTACATGTTATATTTGTAATATGTATCTTATTGTTCTTGATATGTCATGTTTTATTCAATTATAAAATACATTTTATATCTCTGTAGTTACGTTTATCATGTAAATTTGTCCATCTGTTTGCATTCCGGAAGTTTGCCATGTCTTAATAAAGACACAATAAAGCTTTTGTTGTCGGTTAAATTAGCCTTTGTGTTTCTTGTTGTCATAATTTACTGTTTTTGTATGTGTTCATCATGGAGAGTAGAAGATAAGAGTATGAAAATTGAATAAACCACGCTCGTTTTGAAAAGATAAACCACCATTTTTTTCTAATGTATCAAGTGATCGCCAGTCATGTGACTTAATATTGTAACGTGATGATTTAGTCTAGGAGAAGTTTTTTTTATAAATACGTTTCTACTTTGTAACATTTAAACAACTGTTTAAAACCTTTCAAGAAATTATGATTGAAAACATGATAATCCCATAATTGTAACCTGAACGAATTTAATTACGAACAAGGTGAACCTTTCATTGATTTGTTTTGACATCGATTAGACCCATTGATTGAGGTGTGATAATCCGGATTAACAGCTAATATACAAGATAATACAATCTAATGAATGCATGGCTTACATGTGTTTATTAATCATTAAAGATGAAGAAATAGATGTTAATGATAATTATTTGACTGATTCATAATTATGTTATTGTTTCAATCAGAACATTAATAAGGATATTTAATCTTGTCTTTGATACTCAAACAATTTATTAAATTTGGTTTTAAAAAACAAACTTAAATGAAGATTTATCTACTTACATTTTAAAATAAAATTCTTATTCATTTGTCAGAATATTTGCAATTTCGTATTAATTACGTATTCCGTACGGAATTCTCTGACATTGGCGTCCATTTAAAAGACTTCCAGCTTACAGGTAGACTTCCAGTTTGCCGATTTTGGAGCTGTGACTTTTGTCTATGAGTATTATATGAACAAGAAACTTTTTTCTCAAGTTCTTGGACCATAAAGGGGGTGCGCACAATACACAAATGCGCACTATACACACCAAAAGACGGTATCCTTAGTTTTACGGTTCAAAATTTATGGGCCGGACTCGAAGAGTGCAGGATGGACAGACAGAGAGACAGAAAGACATGGTGATTTCTATATACCCCCCCAAACAAAGGGGGTATAAAATTTTGGAAGATGTTTACAGATATTCTGAACAGTAAAGTTGTCAAACAGGACACATTATAAGATAACTCATAAGTATTTAATAATAAAACTTTAAAGCAGTCTTCTAGGGATGATATTTTGACTATAAAAGTTTTTATCGATTGAATTGATTTAAATTCAAGTAACAAAGTGATTACTGTTATCTATTTCAGCTACTTGGACAACAGAAAAATGAAGTTATGGGTCAATATGAAGTTACAACAATAATCTCTAACCTGTACAGCATTATCTCTCTGTCTGTATCGCCATATATCCTCCTCCAGGCGACCAAGAGTCTTGCGTAGCTCTATTTTCTCCTCAGTTAGTCTGGAGACAAAGTTTGTAAGCTCATTGTTATGATGTAATATACGGCCGTTCACAGCATTCAGATCTGGTCTGGACATAAGGTTTCTGTCAGCCTGAATATAACATAAAATATAATTCTTTTTCACATTTTCATTGTTATATCTGATCCTTTAATCATCACGGTTTCTTTTATTTGTAATCTGGACCTTTATCATTTATAAGTTGTGGGGTACAAAATGAGACAGCAACCCAAAAGCATTACAAAACCTACAATACATTTCTAGAGGTCCATATAGTCATCAACAGCAAGACAGAGCTCATCCAATATGTCTAGCACTTTATCACTCCAAGTCAGAAATAATGCTCATCCAATATGTCTAGCTCTGCATCACTCCAAGTCAAGACAATTTGTGAGTAAATTTAACAAACTGCCAAAGAATACATGAGATATAAATGGTCAAAAGCATACAGACCCTCAAACCACCATTCTTAAATTTGTGAAAAATCAGTCAAAGCTAATTTTAGTAAGTGCCCAACATTTTAAAAAACTCCCTCTTTCCACTGTCGTCAGAATGTCCCATTAATCTGCAACACGACCTCACTCTCATATTCCCTGTAATTTTCTTTTGAGGCATACATGAGTAATCATTAAACATTTCTACTACCCAGAAGGACAACATTATACCAAAATCAGACCTGTTTTCAATTGCCATAAATTTAATATGTGTTAATTGTATGTCTGAGGTACATACCCCAGATTCAAATGTGAGTGGTATCTGTACATGTCGAAGCTCATTCAGTAAATCTTTGACAGAATTCTGTATAGCACTTGTCTCCTCATTATCATCTGACCTACAAAATGATAAATATCCTCATTGTATACTTCCTAAACCTTATTTATTATAGAACTATTTATAAGAAACAACATATGGTTAACCTTGACTGACCATCATTTTCCTGTGCCAATTTTCTATATTACACAAACAAATTTATAAATCACAAATGTGCAAATACAATTCCTTTTAATTCTGGAAGAGTTATGACATACTAAAATCAAGATTTAAAGTTATATCTGTCCCACAAGCCACAATGTGTGCCAACACAATTTCAAAAAAAATATTTTTCAATCTTTTGAAATGTATAAAATAAGTTCCAAATGAATTTTTTTGGTGCCATAAATTATTCTTAAATAACAAACTCTTACTTTACAAGTTGTCCTATCTTATCTTGAAACTGTAACATCTGGTATTGTAGGCTCTGACAGAGACTCTCAAGCTGTGCCTTGTAGACTTTCCAGTTCTCTCTCTGTTCTGTAGATTCTATATCACTCTCAGGAGATCCTTCATTTCTCAGCGACATTTCCTATATATAGAAAGTATATTGGTAACTCAATCTTAGGAGAATATATGGTTATATGATATTAATTCCAATGCCCATAATATCAGGTAAGGGCAATCCATTTATAAGATTTTTATTATTAGAACTGGAAACATTGAGCAGGTGCACTTCATACTAAGGTTCTTTAACTAGTTCTTTTCGTGAAAGGAATTTTCCTGAAAGCCCCTTATAAGCTATAATTTGTCATATAGACGATCCTTTAAAGCAGATTTCATTGTATTCATGGCAAGCTGGTAATACCTTTAGTCCTAATATTCCAGTTAATTGAGTTGATTTCACTTGACAAAGATGAGATAACAATACTTGCAGTTTTACCAGACTTAATTATATGTAAACAAAATATCTTTCCAATTTTATTATTCAAACCTCATTCTTCTTTTAGTATAGTTGATCGTAGGTTTAAAGGTCAAAATAATGCTTAAGAGAAAACAATGTGTTCTGCTATCATTTCCAATAACTATTGTGGAACGTTTATTTTAAAATCAATAAAATCTAAAAGAGTATTTTCCATAAACAAATCTTCTGCTGACTGAATGTAATAAGTTTCCAGTAAACATACCCTTTCAAAAGACTGATTATGTAATGTGCGTAGTTTTTCCTGTTCGTAATCTCTCATAATATCCATCTCTTTTTCTTTGCTTATGGTTACTTGTTCTTCTAAGTTTAGAATTTTCTGTTTCAATCTCTGCATTTCTAGATCAGCTTCATGCTAAAATGTAAAGATAAATTATAATAAATGCTTAAATGTAAAGATTAATTCTAATTAACTATAAATGGTTATTGGTTGTATAAATTCATCATTAAGAAAGTTCTATCATACAAGGATTGTAATGTTTACAAATTAATACATTATTTGTTGTGGCAATTACAGTAAAATTTGTAAAATGGCTATTTAAGTGGTAAAATGGCTATCTCTTCAATTTTCATTACAGGAGTAGAAGCATCAAATTCCCAATTTGGCCCCAAAAGATTTAGTCCATTATTTCAAGATGAAATCTGTTTCATGTAAATACAATCACATATAAGAAAATATAATAGAGCTATTTTGTTTGGTTTTTTCTTGTTACATGTTCACAATAAAAATCAAGATTTTTTGTACCAGTTTCATTTTAAAATCATCTCTTTCTCTTTCTAACTGCCTAGCTGATCGTTTATCTGCTATTTTTTCAGTATCTCTCTGTCTTTCTCTTTCATTTTCTCTTTCCTTCATTATCTTCATGTCATTACGTGTCTGGTCCCTCTCAACTTTGACCCTATTTAACTGGTCTCTTTCATGTTCATAGTGACGAGTAATGTCCAGTTTCTGCAGCTAAAAATAGAAATAATTTATGAAAGCAAAGACATTAAAGCCAATATGTATGTATAAATATTTAAAAAAGTTGTATAAATATATAACTTAATAGTCAGGAGAAATAGCATTAATTTGCCCAAGCTTAAGGTACATCTTCTCGTGCTTTCTCTACTGTTTTGTAGCACAATTTCCTCACAGATTTTCAGACACTGTGCAGATACTGTTTTTATAGCCTGGTATCCTTGGTTTGCTTCTCCATAAAAATCAGCATTTCCTCATAATAATAAATTCTTATGAAAGAAAGAGGGTAACTAAAAAGGAATAAACTGCTTCCCTGAGCGCAGCTGGATACGCCCGCAGAGGTCCAACCCTGAACAGTTGGGGCAAAAATGGACACTATTCAAGCTTGATACAGGTCTGAATTTGGATTGTAATTAAATATTTGACATATTAAGGTTTCTGAATAAATGTAGTCTAGGAACTTGAAATTGGTTATATGAATTGAATTTATATTCAATTAAAGATTTCTTGCTGTTGTGCAATACATTATGCTGTTGCGCAATACTTAGTAAATCTGTTGTCAGAATATAAACAAATAACATTTATAAAATTCTAAAGGGAGTTTACATCAATAGATATAAACAATTCACCAAAGTTTCATAAGAATTGCTGAAAGCATTTTTGAGTTATTGTCTGAAAACTGGAAAATCACCCCTTTTTTAATGAATAAAACCCCATAACTCGGAAATGTAAAATCTAAAATGTATAAAATTCTAAAGATATCAACAATTCATCAAAGTTTCATGAGAACTGCTGAAAGCATTTTTGTGTTATTGTCCAAAAACTGGAAAATCCCCCTTTTTTTTATGAATAAAACCCTGTAACTTGGAAACGTAAAATCTAAAATTTATAAAAATCAAAAGGGAGCTCATGTCAATAGATATAAACAAGTAACCAAAATTCCTTGCAAGTTGGTGAAAGCATTCTTGAGTTATTGTCTGAAAACTGGAAAATCCCCTTTTTTTTAATGAATAAAACCCCATAACTGGAAAACGTAAAATCTAAAATTTATAAAAAACGAAAGGGAACTCACATCAATAGATATAAACAATTCACCAAAGTTTTATGCAAATTGGTTAAAGCGTTTTTGAGTTAATGTCCGACATGTTGACGACGGACGGACAGACGGACGGACGGACGGACAGACAGATAGACGGACAACGGTATACCATAATACGTCCCGTAAACGGGCGTATAAAAATGGATCAATTATAATTTACCTGAGTTTTTATATGATTAGAAAAACACATTCCTTGTGAGATATGTATCTTTTTTTTAAAAATATCTTCTCCTTATACTTAAAACATTTGTGAACTTCCTGTTTTGATAACTCCTGTATGAAATTCTGCTAGGTTCTAAGTAAAGACCTTCGGATAGTTACCTGTGCCTGATCTAATTCATTTTTAAGCTGCCTACATGCTTGTCTTTCATTATCAAGTTCTTCCCTTAATGATGATTTCTCCTCATCTATAGATTTAAATAAATCATTATTTCTTTTCTTCTCTCTATCCAGTGATCTCTGTAAGTCTAATACTTTGGCTTTTTCTGTTTCCAATTCCATTTGTATCTCGTCAAATATGCCTTTTTCTCTGTCTGAACTTTCTTGTAAAGAATCTCGCTCATTTTCAAGATTATGTTTCAATTTTTGATTCATGTACCTCTCTCTTTCAAGTTCTCTGCAATTGAAAAAAATATTTCTACAATATCATAATCATCAGTAATAAAAAACAATATTTCTACAATGATATAATTATCAGTAAAAACAAAGAATGAAAAAAATTGTAAATAATTCCAAATTTTGTCTCTCAAAATTTACTCGAAAATAAAAGCAATGGCTGCCTAATTTATGTTGTTGCAACTGTTAACATAAAATGCATTATAAAAAAAAAATAGAGAAAAGTATTAGGTGCTATCACAGAGGGTCCCTAAATATGTGAGTAAGTAATGAGGGTTATTCCTCATGCATGTTTATCCACAGGTTTTTCCAACTTTATCTAACATTTGGACTATGATCATCAACCTAGGGTTGTCTTCCATGTTCAAGACACACCTTCTTATAGTGGCAAATAATCATGAAAAGTTTCATCCTTGACCTCCAAGGAGTTTTGAAATTAGAGAGCTGAATGATTTTTTTGTACATATGCACAGTGGTAGTTAATTTTTTTACCATGACTTCCGATGCAGGTTTTATTTCAATGTTTGCAAAACACTTCGGTAGTGGAAGTAATCATGCCAACTTTCATCATTGAACTCCAAGGGGCCTAATAATGCTATTTATATATATCTTCACTTTTTTTTATATCAATTTTAATAATTAATCATTTTTAATTTAGAAATACTTCCTCTTTAGATCAACTGATTTTGCTTACTCCATATCTATAGTAATAGATATATTACCTCTCTAGATCAACACTTCTAGCCTTCTCCATGTCTATAGTAGTAGCAAGTTGCTGTAATTTGTTCTCATAGTCTGTGACCATGTTATGGAAGTTTTTCTGTTCCTTATCTAGTTCCTGTTTCAGTGTACTGATTGTTGTCTGGTCTAACTCATATGTATTCTCAGCATGAATACGTCGGTCTCTTTCCATCATTACTTCTTTCTTTAAGGCCTAAATTTTAAAAAAAGGAAATGAGCTGTCAAATTGACAGTAAACCATGTTTTCTGTATTTTGAAGGTAACCATTGATGAACTTAAAGGGGCATTAGCTGTCAAATTCATGTTCACCGATTTGACTCAAATTCTCATATTTGATTACTAACAATAAGTCTGAAATAGACAATTAACAATGCAGGGACTCGATTATATATATCAGCATTTCGTGTGTATTTTAGTCTAGATGCCCTCTAATTAACCATTGAGATGACCTCTGAAGACTGCTGACGGTCACATAACCCGATATAAACATAAACATAAATATAAATAGAAAGTGACCTCGTGCAATTGGACTTTTCTAGGTCTGTTTGATTTCATGTTATAGGTTAAAAAAATAAGTTAATCATCGTTTTTACCTGTATAAGAATGATTTTTTGTGGATTGAATCAGACAACGAAATGGTTCACCTTCTTTTCACTTTCAATGTTGACATTCTTTTCCTTTTCATGACTGAACACAACTAATACATGCGTAACCAATCTCTAGCTACTGAGTTAAATTAAAGGTCACATGAATACGGATTAAATGAGGTCAAATTATTCACTTGCAAGTGAATAATTCATCAGTGATGTTTCTAAGCTTATTTTGACAAAATTGAACTAAACTGGCTGCTTAAAGCGAATTATTATTTCACTATTTCACTTTCATTAATGATTGAACAAAAAAATTAAAATCTTATTTTTTTTCTATATCTCATAGCTAATGCTCCTTTAAGTATTCTAATGTATGGCATTTTCAGGCTTGTTTGACCTACCACTTTATATGTGCCTATTTTCCAAATATATCAAGTATCATATGTTCTGAAAAGTAAACCTGACCTACATTTTGTTATCTGAAACAGCATTAACAACATTTTAAAATTTGAAAGCATGGTTAAACAGTTCATCAGTTATTTCACAGAAACAACATAAAATTCTTTTTTACAATCTATCAAGGACCATAACTTTTGAACGGGAAAAAGTGAAAATCAACAATAGCAGACTAAAGCTCCATTTTGTCATCAGTAAGAATGTATTGAAATTTGAAAAGCACTGTTGAACAGTTTGTAAGTAAATGCACAGAAACACAGAAACGACATGCAGTGCTATTTTCCTATCTATAAAGGACAATAACTCTTGAACGGGAAAAGTGAAATTGGACTTGACCTCCATTTAGTCATCAGTAACAAAGTATCAAAATTTGGAAATCATTGGGTGAACGTATCATAAGTTTTTGCACAGAAATTGTTTGGAGCTGCCCACGAATCAACCACATGCTGAGCAAGAATACAAAGCACACTAAAATACTAAATTGACAGTAACTATGTTCTAATTCTACTACTAACCTCTACAACAGTTTCTGGTTGTGTAGTCTCTGAGTTAACTCTATAATCCTCCAATTGTACTTGGATATTATTGAACTTAAATCTCTCTGCATCTAATAATTCACTCAAATAATGACTCTTTCCTTTCTCCTCATCTAAAGCACCACTGTAAAATTTAAAAAAAAATTAAACTTGATCTGTGTTTTGTGGTAATAAGCATTGTGTATAAGTTTGATAACATTTGGTTGAGGCAAACTCAAGTTAGAGAACGGAAACCAATTTTGGGACGTATGGACAGACAGACAAGGGTAAACTTAATGCCCCCTCCGAAGTGGAGGGGGCATAAAAATAACTTTAAAGATGTTAAATAATAGCTGAAAATAAGCAAAAAACTTACACAAGTTTTACAGAAATATATTTTCATTTACTGTGGATTCATTTATTTTGGTGGATTGGAAAAAAAAGCATTTTTGCAGATTCTTGATTTTGTGATTTTACAAATTCTGCATACAAGCTATTTGAATATTTGCATTTCTTTGAAGACTTATATTGGTGAATTAATTTTGTTCACTAATAATGATGAATACACAGTACTGCTTAATAGAAATCTGATTCTTCAATCAAGTTTATCTTCTTCATATAATGATTTTGTTCATCATATATTATTTCATCATGTTCAATCTAACTAAATACATTGTTTTCAAAAATTTTTTTTTTTTTAAATTTTATTCTCTCAGTTGTCATTTAAATTAGGTGTTTATGATGCTCTAAGGTTATGCAACATATTTTTTCATTGACAAAAGTGCACAATAAAGATGACGACAATATAACACAAAAAGAATTAAACAGTTTATAACATGTGTATTATATATATATATATATATATTATAAATGCCTAAGACTGTAACTTTAATATGCTAATGTTTGTAATATAAATAGTTATATTTTATGGATTTTTTCACTAGACAAACTAGATTCTTCATCAGGCGTGTGCATCATTCAGGTGTAATTGGTTACTAATCAGAAAATTTTTGCAGCTTATCGTACATTTTGTTCATACAATTTGCACAACACAATTAAATCTGTTTGAAGTTCAAAAGTTCTGAAAATTGAGCATTGGTTCATTTTAACCTTAGTAAAGTAGAAATATTGCATTGTTAAACAAAGTCTATGAAGCCAATATTTAAAAGAAGTTTTAAAATGTTTATACATTGACTATAAACCAAAATATCTACATAAGAATCAACACATTCAATTAGAAATTGGGGAGATTATGTTAAATTTAAGAATGATCAGGACAAGTCTGTGGTCAAAGATATACAATTGAATCAGATTCATAACATGTTACCATAAAATGTGCAGTCTTATAAACAAGAAGACAGGAGTGTATTTTTTTTTTTACAGTTACATAAGTAAGTATTATTATTAATAAAACAACACAATTTCTATGCAGTGTTAAGTTACTACAGTGACTATTGTTATTTTCACATCTCAGCATTTTAAAAAATTCACTACATATAATTTTGCAATTTTCTTTCATATCAATTGAATATTACATTTGTAAATATCATTTATTTGGTGCAACAGTTGATAGATGTGAAAATGAACAAATGAATTGGCATATCACACAAAGATGCTATACTAACACAAAGCATACACAAAGTAACTTACACCAAAGAATCCCACATTTCCCTGTATAAAGTAAAATTACTATTGGTAAAATTCTCATATACAAATATTTATCTCAAGGCATTGTTTTGTCAAAAGGATGCAAATTAAGATGAGACATATCAAAGTTTTATAATAACAAATAATTCTACCTAATAGTCTTTTATATATGCATGAGCAATCCATGCTAGAAAATGTAATCCTATGTTCTAAAACAATAAAACCTTAGCTAACAAACTTACACCATTAAACACATCAAGCTGCAACAAATCTCCTCTTAAAATATTTTTAACATCTTATTTCTTCTGGTTACAAAATCATGATGTAAATAAACAGAACTTTAATTTAAAAAAACTTACATTTATTTGAATATGAATGTCTTAACTTTTATCATTTTGATTTTTTTCTCTCAAAATTATGAAAGAACAAAAATATAAGTTTGATATGAACTATAAACATGCTGTATATAAATCCTTTTCTCTAAAATAAATACTAGTTCACCTTAAATTTGACAAATGTGCAGACATTGCAGTTTGATGTGATGAAGTAATATAGATAATCAAATGATAAAAGCACATGGCACAACATCTCAGAATACTTACGATACGGAAACAAATCTACTTTGTTCTCTCTCAAGAGCATCCTTCAGTTTGGAGATCTGAGCCTGCAGGTTGGAAGTTTCTGTTTGAAGATCAAGATTATGATTCTTCTCTCTGGACAACAGGGTAGATAACTCACTATTTCTTTCACATTCCATATCATAACGAGATCTGACATCATCTTGGAGTATTTTTTCTTGCTGTAACTTATATTCTAACAATTGTGCTGAAATCAAATTTAAATAGAGAACATATTACCATGATAAATACATTTTTTCTACTTTTTTTTTGTTGCTTGTTATGAGTCAACTTCAGAATAAGATTTGACCATTAAGTTGAAAATAAATAAACAATGCAATGGCAAAAAAGGAAAGACTAAGAAATGACAAACGATTCCATAAAACACTACATAGAAAACGTAAATTTGTGTTACATGAACCCCACCAAAACTAGTTCGTTCAATGTGAATATTATCTAGTACTATACAAACAATTGTTAAATATCAACATTAATTTTTTCTTCAGGAAACACAGATTGATTCAGGTGAGTGACTAATTACTAGAATTTCTTACATTTTTTGTTTCAAAACCTAATAATTCTGGTGACAGGTGCGTATAAAATTAATAAAGAGTTGATAACTAGCAAAAAATTAGTTAATATACAAATGTAATGGTACACATGAATTTTGCTGTAGTAACACCTTACTGCAGTATGAATGAAGAACCTGATACACATTTCCTTTGTTTGTAAGAAATATAACTTTGGTATTCTACAAGGACTTCTGGTTTTCAATCTCTTCAGATTACTAAATGTAACTCTTCCCACTATTAAGTAAGAAATGATTAACCTTGTCTTTTAGCTTGTCTTTCTTTCTTTGTTGTTTGATCCTCTATAGTACTGAGCTGTTCTGACATTTTCTCTCGTTCTTCCTGATGTTTCATCATTGAGATGTTGGTATGAGCTCTTAGATCTCTGATTTCAGCCAACATTGACTGACGATCAGCTTTGAAAATCTGGTCTAGTGACGATTTCTGGTGTTCTTCCTGTTAAAATTATTTATGTTTTATTATAATAAAATGGAAAATGTGTCCCCATGGACACAGATGATGCCCCCGCTTGCATTATAAAGGGACATAACTCAAAAACAATAAAAGTGACGCTACCCAAATTTAGATCTGAGTTTTGTGGTTATTAGTATTGTGTACAGGTTTCATAATGTTTGGTTGGGGCAAACTTAAGTTACAGAACGGAAACTAAAAATTTAGCAATTTTTCGATTTATAAAGGGGCATAACTCGATAATGGTTAAAGTGACGCCACCAAAATTCAACTTGATCTGTGTTTTGTCGTAATAAGCATTGTGTATAAGTTTCATAACATTTGGTTGAGGCAACTTAAGTTAGAGAACGCAAACTAAAAATTTTGCAATTTTTTTTCCCCATTTATAAAGGGGCATAACTCGAGAATGGTTAAAGTGACCCCACCAAATTCAAACTTGATCTGTGTTTTGTCGTAATAAGCATTGTGTATAAGTTTCATTACATTTGGTAGAGGCAAACTTAAGTTAGAGAACAGAAACTAAAAATTTTGTAATTTTTTCATCTATAAAGGGGCATAACTCTAGAACGGTTAGAGTGACGCTACCAAAATTCAAACTTGATCTGTATTATGTGGTAATAAGCATTGTGTGTAAGTTTCATAACATTTGGTTAAGGCAAACTCAAGTTAGAGAACGGAAACCAATTTTGGGACGTACGTACGTACAGACAGACAGACAAGGGTAAAACTTAATGCCCCCTCCGCTACAGCGGGGGCATAAAAACTGATTTTAAATCTGTGCTTGGAAAGAAGAAGACAATCAGGACAACAAGATAATGGATTAGGATCTATAAAACTTTTCAGTATTTCTCTTCATATTCTTGTCTGCTTATTTTCTAGACACTAATTAACAGTGTGTAATTTTTGAATGTTGGTCAATCAATGTTCCCCAGCTGGTTCAAACTAATAGACTTGAAAATTGGTATTTGCTTCTTCTCAGCTAAACTTACAACACTTAGGGGTAGGAACAAAGATTGGTCAGCTAAAAGTCAGAATAATGTGTCCAGGTAGGGCGAACTGTACATGTCTTTGCTTCTTCTCAGCTAGACTTACAACACTTAGGGGTAGGAACAAAGATTGGTCAGCTCAAAGTCAGAATAATGTGTCCAGGTAGGGCGAACTGTATATGTCTTCCTGTAAACTGTTATCTTGTGAACTAGGCATTACACAAAAAATTTGACTCAGCGTGTCGGTCTAGTTCATTCATATCACATTGACATATTCTTGTCATAATACGCTTGTAATATTTGCCACTGGATGTTAAACACCAATCCATCATCATTTACATATACTTATCTTAATTACCTGGTTTCTTATTTTCTGTTCCAAATTCTGTATCTCAGAAAGATCTGTGGTTGGATGAGACAAAACATGTGACCTTAATTCAGCCAATAAGGTGTCCCTTTCTTTGGCAAATACATAACTTATGGCTTGTAGAAGTTCACCTCTCCAATCAGATACATCAGGACCCTTAAATCAAGATTAAACATCATAAACATTTATTTAAAGGTGAAAACAAACTTCCACTTGCTATGAAACATAAAAATTGTGTCAAATTCAAGATCACAAATATTTGTTTTAAATAACTTGCTAACTGATAATGAGCTATTTAATAACATCTGAGAAAACTATCCTTATTCAAAATTTAACTTTATAATTAGACATGTAGTAAATAAAATAAGATATATTTTTGTAATTTTCATAGATTTAACTGCTAAATTTTCACTAAATAACATAATATGCTAAGGGGGACTAAAAACTTTATACAAATAAACTGCTGACACAGAGATATGTCTCAGCTGTCAGCAGAAAGTTCATAAAAAAGATAGACAGAAACATTGCTAATTAATTCAAAGTTGCTGAACCATGATCTAGGGTGCAGGGCCTCGAAACTGATATGTACTGATAGTAATGTAACTTTATAGAAAACAATCATTGATCTATGAGAAGTAGTTCTTATCAAACTGACTTCAGCAGAAAAACAAAAGCAACACCTATGTTTCTCCTTCTGAGAATTTAGTTGCAGGCTAGACAAAAATACATAACTGTAGTGAAAGCAATTTGAAAAATTCAACGAAAATATTACAACACAAATTTCAACATAAAAGGTAATCTTAGTAAAATGATCTGGATCTAAAGCAACCATGTACACCAGACATTTACATATTGGTGCAGTACAAAACATTGGTGAATGACATGTTTCAAGGTATGGTGAGTCTAGTACATTGTACAAAGATAATCTAATGACATAAAACACATTTAATGACTCACAAAGTAATGATAATCCCTATCTAAAGGATCTTGGTAATATCTATGCTATTTAAGGAAAAATAACAGATTATAAATTATTATACAATATATTGGATTTCTAAGAGAAGCAACCTGGGTTTTAAATGCTCAAATCAGGATGTCTTTGGACAAAGTCTTATCAAACTTTCGAGCTAATGAATCTATTTGACTTCTTTTTAAAAATGGGTCAAAGTCTCAAATAACAGAGTTGTAATATGTATGACTAATCAATGTAGAATGTTTACAATGTAGTTGCAATTAAATGAAGGTTGTAAATTTGCTGATGAAATAACTAAGTTCCAAAGTCCAGAAAAATGTGAAAAAGTTCTTCAAACAATTCCATAATAGCAGGTGCACAACTTCTTCGCAAAAATTTTCAAATTTGTCAAACCCTGCCTTAAATGAAAACTTTCTAGCACAAAGATTTTCAGAAAATAGCTGGATATTTTTGTATGTGACAGATTCATACAACTTAAGCTTACCAGATAACTATACAAAATGTCAAATTTAAAATGATAAATATTAATGTTTTTATTATTAGTTTTATCTATTTACATATAAATAAAATGTTCAATTCATGGTAATATATGTAAAGGGGAATTGTGTTTTTTATAAAGCTTTCTTCAAATAAGTACAGATTTCATTTCAATTATGCAAATACATTGAATTCCTCTGTTTTTATTGATGGCAATTTTTATGGATTCAAGAAAAATTGTATTTGTGCTGATATTTTATTTCATGGTTTTGACAAATTCTTTTACAAACCATAAGGAATTTTGTTTTATGTTGAATATCAAAATGGTTGAATCACCTGCACCAATGAAATCAAGGAAAATAAGTACTCCATTACTAATAATAAAGCCACAGTATGTGAAACAAATATTGCAGTTAATTTTACCTTCTCAAGTCCTCTCAGTTTATGTGTTTGTGCCAAAAGATCTTTGAGTGATTGTATAGCTGACAGTAAGCTTTGTTTCTCACTTTCCCATGATGTTTTCAATGATTCTACATCAACCTCTTTATCAATCTGAGAAGGTGACATGTGACGATTCAGGAACTGTAACTCTGATATACTTAACATCTGAACACCTTCTCTGTGGAGTCGATTCATTAACATCTAAAACATTATTTATTTATTTCATCTTACTACATTCTGACAATGTTTTATTAAGAACACAAGCTAGTAACTTTAAGTAGGTCAGTATAGGACAAAATTGTTTATTACAAGCATGCTTATTCACAAAACATAAAACATAGAATGTTAACAGTAAGTGGTAAACAAATTCCAATATCTTTCTACTTATATTCAATTTTGTATCTCTAAATATATCTCAGCTCTTCTTAAATGCTTCAACATACAATTTATCAAAATTTCAATATCTTTAACTGAATACAAAATGGTGACAATGCAAGTTAAAATCTATTTATAGGCCTCATAAATTTATATCACTGCTACCCACTGTACACTTTTCCCAAATTTCATGTTTTGCTGTGTTAGGTCAAATAATTACTCATAAAAAATTTAAAAGAAGTTGCACATTAAGAGTTACAGATAGAAACCTCACCCCCTTATTGGAAGATAGTTCCTTACATCCCAAAAATCATTTAGATATAAAAAAAAATATATAGAAGGTGAACAATCCATTAGGAACACTAAGTATTCTCTGTAGTTAAATTGATTGATGGCTGCTTTATGTCCAGCTACAAATTACATATGTATGAGGCTGTTTAAAATTTCATTGAAATCCATTCTCTAATTTTAGTGGAGGAGTTAAGGACACAACAATCACTATTTACTCCGACTACAGTAAGCAGGAGTATGATAAGCCCCAAGTAAAAAAAAATGTTCTAATCAAATCACCTGTAATTTAGATGATACATTTTCATCATTAGTCATTTCAGTGCTGGATACACCGGTACTAACATCTGTGTTGTCTGTACCACTAGCGCCCTCTGGTTGTCTCTGTAATGATTGCAGCAAACGATTGTCAAGCTTTTCTGATAAGGAGATTTCAGACTGCAGACGACGGCCAGCTTCCATTGTCATTGTGTCACTCAAAACTGAAATACAGATTACCACCAGTTCAATATAAACAGAAAAAAAATAATAAATTAGTTGCAAAGAAATGATTGACTTAAAGTTCCCCATTTCACTACATATTGACTTGGATCCCTACAAATATAAAATGGACGCTCAATGTTTAATTTTACAAGATGTGTCAAGTAACAAATTATCATTTCTTTATAACTTTAGATTATGTATGTCCACTATTATAAAGTATCAGTCCTCAAAGATATACATTTGCTTAGTTCTGGATCCTTACACATAATTTGTAACCACATTTAAAATTAACTGTTAACACAGAGATATGTCTTGCCTTTTTGTTATCTTAATAGTAATATGCAAATGTTGAAATTAAAAAAGCAATACTTTAACAAGTAAGTTATGCAAAATATTCAGTCAATAGACCATGACTGAGGGGGTGGGGCCAAATAATTTCCATGGAAATGAGATGTACCAATGTTAATACAACTGCATACCAAATATCATTGACCTAACACTATTGGTACTCCATAAACTGACCTAATCACAAACTAATACATGTAAACTAAGGAAAAGTTTTAAAGTAAATAGACCATCACTGAGAGAGTAGGGCCAAATAATCTCCATGGAAATTAGATGTGCCAATGTTAATACAACTGCATACCAAATATCTTTGACCTACCACTAGTGGTTCCCCATAAACTGACCTAATCACATACTAATACATGTAAATTAAGCAAAAGTTTCAAAGTCAATAGACCATGACTGAGGGGGCAGGACCATATAATCTCCATGGAAATGAGATGTGCCAATGCTCATACAACTGCATACCAAATATCATTGACCTACCATTAGTGGTTCCCCTTAAACTGACCTAATCACAAACTAATACATGTAAATTAAGCAAAAGTTTCAAAGTCAATAAACCATGAACAAGGGGCAGGGTTTGAAATTAGCAGGAGCCCACTCGCCAATGGCCCCTAAAATTTGGTGTGGGCTACTAAAATTTCTGCTTTTCTTGTATAGAACTATATATATTGGCTACAAAATTTAAGCTGTGGGCTACCATGCCAAAATTTTAACTTCAATCCCTGAGGGGGCAGGGCCAAATAATCTCCCTGGAAACGAGATGTGCCAATGCTAATACAACTGCATACCAAATATCATTGACCTACCACTAGTGGTTCCCCATAAACTGACCTAATCACAAACTAATACATTGTTGACGCCGCTGATGCCGATTATTTATAATCATATGAAAAATACTTCAAAGTGATATTTTTCCAGAAAATTATAAGACAAATTAAATATATCTAAGAAAAAAAATAAATAACTTTTAAAACTAATTATTATGTACTGTGGTCCATCTGCAATTAGGTTTCAACCTTTCTACCTATCATTAAAAGATGAATTATTTCTGTAGAAACCTGCAAGTACTATATAAAGTTTGAATTCTACTAAAATGCAGTTTGCCTTAAATATCGCTCTAACCGCAATAACTTTACAATCACATTTTTTTTATTTTGAATGAAGTTGGTGGATGCCGTCATTATATTTATTTTGAATGAAGTTGGTGGATGCCATCATTATATTTATTTTGAATGAAGTTGGTGGATGTCGTCATTATATTTATTTTGAATGAAGTTGGTGGATGCCGTCATTATATTTATTTTGAATGAAGTTGGTGGATGCCGTCATTATATTTATTTTTGAATGAAGTTGGTGGATGCCGTCATTATATTTATTTTGAATGAAGTTGGTGGATGCCGTCATTATATTTATTTTGAATTAAATTGGTGGATGCCGTCATTATATTTCTTTTTGTCAAACAGATCTACCTAGCATATAAAAAATGTATGTGTGTAATATTTGTAGTTTTCAAAATAGTGATTTAAATATTTATATAAATACTGATACCATTATCCATGATATCAATTCATAATTGTAACAGACCAAGCCTCAGTATCCCTAAAATGATTGCTATAACTGCAATATATATGTCCCTTAATTTTTGTACAGTAACATCTATTCCTAATTCCAATACTTTGATGAAGGCAATATTTTATTTTTGTACAGTAACATCTATTCTTATTCCAATACTTTGAAGGCAATATTTTATTTTTGTACAGTAACATCTATTCCTAATTCCAATACTTTGAAGGTAATATTTTATTTTTGTACAGTAACATCTATTCCTAATTTCAATATTTTAAAGGTAATATATCAGGGGCGGATCCAGAACCTCGATGTCTGGAGGGGCACCATGAAACCAAAATTAAAGATTTGTTTAGATATGTATATATGCAAGTGTGGGTGGTGGTGGTGTCATGTATTCTGGATGATGGTGGTCGTGAGGGGGGGGGGGGGGGGGTCTTCATTTCTATATACTTTCATCATTGTTGGATCCATTTCTTTCTACTCTTTTATTTGCTGCCAATTGTTCTCTATTCTTTATAGTTCATCACACCTTTAATCTGTTTTCTATATTTTTTGGCCCATTTTTTTCTAGTCTTTACTTTTTGACCATTGTTCTCTAATCTGTAAACCCCATTCATACCCTCATTCACGGTAAACCATTCATACCCTCATTCACTGTAACCTATTCATACCCTCAAAAAAATGCTGTATGCATTGAAAAAAATCGTTTGTTGTTTAATAAAAGTTCGAAAAAGACTGTTCTGAGAAAGACACATTCCCCACAAACCGTATACAATGTGAGTGTTTGGTAATAAAGACGTATCTCATATCGATACTAACATTCTTAACACTAAATATCTATATTCTTTTAAGACCGGTTTTATTTGGTAATTTCTTTCCTGATCAAGATTTCATATGTTAATCAATCTTGATCCTGTAATATTGTATTAGAAACCAATAAATATATTCGTATTAATTCCAATCAGCATGTACATGTAGTTTACATAAATGCTTTTGGATAAAATATTTACACACCCATCGATAAGTTGTCATAAATTACGCATGTTGACGCTGGGGTTAATTAACGACCAGTTTAGGAAGTCAAATCAAGCTGTGTCTTGATTTTCTATCTAGATAAGCAGATACAGTAGCAATAAAACTATTTTAGAAAAAATTTTTGTGACCCCTACTGGGGAGGCACGTACCCCCTGTGTCCCCCTGGTATCCGCCACTGTATATATTTACTCTGTAACTAGTTTAAAATATTCTCAACTATTTTTCAAGATGGCCATCTTTTTGGTTCAAGCAAGTGTATGCACTGAGTACTGTTCACTGATTTTAACTCTGAAAACTGTTCACCTCATATTTCTAACTTTCCCTGAGGGCTTCAGATATGACAATGGATTTTGCTAAGAAAATAAATGATTCAGTCAATTGTTTAATGTCCTAAATGTTAGTGATGGCACTGACCTGGTTCCTGTAGTCTGGCTATTTCTATTTCCTTTTGATGTTTAGCCATAAGTCTGTCTATCTCCTGATCATGTTCTCTCTCCAGTTCTCTCTTTACCTCTCCTGTTTTCTTCTCCAACTCTGTTTTATGAAGTTGTTTGAGATATTCAATCTCATCTTCATATTTTATTCGTAACTGTGCCAGATTAGTCTCAGAGTCCTGACGGGTTCTGTCCTGCATGGTCTGGATATGTTTATGGTGTTGCTGAGACAGCTCCTCTCTTAACTCCATAACTTTCTACATTGATCAAACATATATGTAAAAATGAAGGTTATTTATAATTCCATAGTTAACACCATTACCATGTATATCAAACAAAAAGAAAAGGAACAGAAGACTGCAGTAGACTATAAAATGTCTCTTAAGTCAAAATTGACATTAAGAGAAGATAAATATTAAATAAAATGCTCTGCTGGGCGCAGCTTGATACGACCGCAGAGGTCCAACCCTGAACAGTTGGGGCAAGTATGGACACAACATTCAAGCTTGATACAGCTCTGAATTTGGATTGTGATTAAATATTTGACACAGCATAGGTTTCTGACACAGAATGAAAGTGGTCTAAGAACTTAAAATATTTTAATTTACCTATTATGGTCAAATATCCAAAATCTAAATACATACACGGTTAGATTCAGCATATCAAAGATCCCCAAGAATTTAATTTTTGTTAAAATCAAACTAAGTTTAATTTTGGACCCTTTGGACCTTAATGTAGACCAATTTGAAAACGGGACCAAAAATTAAGAATCTAAATACAAGGTTAGATTCAGTATATCAAAGAACCCCATTATTTCAATTTTTGATGAAATCAAACCATACAATTATTATTTGCTTTTATATATAAATAAAAAATAACCAACTTAAAATGGAAAATTTTAAAGAAAAAAAGGAAAAAAAAAAAAAAAGAAAACCCCCCCCCCCCAATTTTTTAAACCCCCTTATGATTCATCACCCCCAAACTCAATCCCAGCCTTCCCTTTGTGGTATGGTACCTTGCAGTACAATTTCAGAGAGATCCATACACTTGAACACAAGTTATTGTCTGAAAACTATTAAAATGCTTGTTTTTTGGCCCCTTTTTGGCCCCAAATTCCCAAATGTTTAGGGCAATTACCCCCAAACTCAAACCCTTGTGGTACAATGTCAGAGAGATCCATACACTAACACACAAGTTATTGTCTGGAAGTTACAAAAATGCCTATTTTTGGCCCCTTTTTGGCCCCTAATTCCTTAACTGTTGGTACCATAACCCCCAAAATCAATCCCAACCTTCCTTTTGTGGTATTGAACCTTATGATTAAATTTCATAGAGATCCATACACTTAAACTAAAGTTATTGTGCGAAAACAAATGTGTCTTCGGACAACGACGACGACAACGCCAACGTCATACCAATATACGACTGAAAATTTTTGCGGTCGTACAAAAACAATTCAGTCCTGTAGATTGTAAAAATGTTGGTTTTTTTAAATAGTTCAATAAGTTCTGACTAGAAGTCAATTTGACAATGCAAAGAAACATAATTTCATGAATAAAAATAATATTATGCATTTCCAGACTCGGCTCAAGGACAACTCGAGAGCTTAACCTTAAAGATCTTGACAAATATAATGCCTACCCATGTTAAAATGAGCATAGCGCATGACATGTAAGAATTATTTCTTAAACAGAATTTTACACACTAAATGTCTTCACTGTGGTTATATCTATCTTCATTTAAATCTTAAAATAAAAGGTAAAGTAGCAGTCAAAAATATAATTTTTTTCAACTTACTCTGACATAATCTTTTGCAGACATGGATACTGTAGTACGAAATAAGTCAAGTTCAGACAGTGCTGTCTTAAGATCTTTCCTTAGTTCTTTGATTTCCTTCATCAGTTCCAGTCTGTCCATACCTTCCAATTCATCATCAGATTCTAGATGTTCTGATCTGTATTGCAAACCATCTCTCTGTAAATAAAGTTTTACATAACTCAATAATAGACAGCAATCCCATCAAAATAAGCATTGTGTTCCAGTTTTGAAAATAGGCAAACAAGAATGTGTCCATAGTACATGGATGCCCCACTCGCACTATCATTTTCTATGTTCAGTGGACCGTGAAATTGGGGTCAAAACTCTAATTTGGCATTAAAATTAGAAAGATCATATCATAGGGAACATGTGTACTAAGTTTCAAGTTGATTGGACTTCAACTTCATCAAAAACTACCTTGACCAAAAACTTTAACCTGAAGCGGGACAGACGGACGAACTAACGAACAGAAAGAACAGACAGACTCACCGACCGAAAAACATAATGCCCCTAGGTGGGGCATAAAAAGAATTTGATTTGTGAGAGAATTTTTAGTGCTAAAGATGTTTAGCACTAAAAATTCTCTCACAAATTAAATTCATTTTTTGAACATTTTGTAACCTTTTGAACGTAAATACCATGTTTCATGTCAGTTTTAATTTCTTTGTTTTATCTTATTAAGTTACAAACATTTTATTTTCCATTGATATGCACTTTCCCAATTAGCTATAATGTAATTTCTTATAACCAAAGTCTTCTTAAGTCCCAAATAATGAAACCTCATGAAAAATAAATCCCTTATAATATTCACTGCTTTACAGGTTTCTATTCCAGTGCATAAACTCTCACTGTGATGGCATGGACATTAACAAACACAAATTTAGTTTAAGTTTCCAACAATGACACTGCACCTACCTCAATGCTAGTTTCCCTACTATTTCTCCATCCTCCTTCTCTTTGCATTTCATCTAAAGCTGTTTTAGCAATGTGTAACTCTTGCCTCAGCTGATCTAACTGACCCTGGGTAGCAGCCTCAATTTCAACTTGGTCGTCTGATATCTGACCTCTAGCCTGTTCCAATTCTATCATCTTGACTTCTAGCTGCTGTGTTTTGTCCTCAAGATTAGCCTTAACAGATTCTAGCTCACTATGCATCTCCATCATGATACTTTCATTCTCCTGAAACAAAGTTACCAATAAAGATAGTTAATAATATACGTTTATTCAAGCTTACTTACCCTCTTATTAGTCTTAATGCCCTACATAGGAAAATTATTTTCTTTAAATAAAAATAAATGGCTGTACTCCAAATGAAATGTTTAGTAACTTTTATCATAATAAATTTTGCATAAAAATTATATACAATGTAATATAAATAATTTAAGACTGCCTTATTTGTACTCGACTACAATTTTTGCTTTCAAAATATTATTTGATTTATTCAAACCAAATTTAAGTCACAATGTTCGAAAATATATCATTTTTCAAATAATTTTGCAGATTTAACTACCTCCTGAACATAAATTACCATTTTCATGTGTAGCTAGTTTTCATACTCATACAGAGGTATCATAAAACAGATATTTGCTGTATTCATCAATAAATATTAACTAAAGCCTATAGTCAGCGAGTCCATCTGTGCATATGTCCTTCACAAATCTTTTCAGCTCTAACTTTAAAACCGCTTGGAGTTCAGGGATGAAATTTGGCACAATTATTGACCACTTCTAAAATGTGTATCATGTATATAGAAAAAAAAACCTACATTGAAAGCCATGGCAAAAATCTAATTCCAACTTTATAGCCACCCATTGTATATGTAAAAATAAATATTTCTTCTCTCTATCTTTAAATCCCCATTTGAGTCTGTGATGAAACTTTGCTTGATTATTTACCACTACCAGAAGATGAAGTGCAAGTAAATAAACTCTACACTGAAAGTCATGGTCAAAAACTTAAATTCAATTTAGCCACCCCTCTGCATATGTACAATAACTGTTCCCACCATCTAACTTTAATACCCCTTGGGGATGAAACTTATCATGATTAAATTACCACTACTAGACATTTGACTGGAAATAAGTTGATGAACATGGACAAAAAGTTGTACTCAGACCCCCCCCAGATGAATTGTCTAACCTATTGCTAGATCTTACCTGTAACTGCAGAGGTTATGTCTGAATTTTCTGACCTATTGTTAGATCTCAGCTATAACTGCACAGGTTATGTCTGAATTTTCTGACCTATTGTTAGATCTTAGCTGTAACTGCACAGGTTATGTCTGAATTTTCTGACCTATTGTTAGATCTTACCTGTAACTGCACAGGTTATGTCTGAATTTTCTGACCTATTGCTAGACCTTACCTGTAATTGCACAGATGAATTTTCTGACCTATTGCTAGATCTTACCTGTAACTGAACTTGAAGTTTTGTAACAGAAGAGACAGCATCTCCCCCACCACCACTAGGATCTGTCTGGAGTTGTCTGACTTGTTGCTGGAGATTCTCAATCACTCTGACTTTTTCCATCTTGTCATTCTCCACCTCCTGTGTTATGTATTGTAATTCCTGATCCTTTGCCAGTGTTACTTGTTGAAGTTCCTGTTTTAGTTCTTTAATAGTTTTGTCTTTGTCAGAAAGCATTTCCTGTATGTCTAACTTGAGTTTGGTGTATTCCTGGTCTTTCTGTTCTACAATGTGTAATTGCTGCTCACTAAGTTCAACAGCTTCCTTTAGTCTTTGTTTCACGTCAGTCATTTGTTCAAGTTTTTCTTCACTGTTTTTCAATTTAGAAAATGTGGTTGATAATTCACGTGACGTCTGCTCTAATTTCTCCTGTTTTTCTTGTAACTGAGCAAAGACGTCATCCCCAGCATCAAAAGATCCAGCTTTCTGTAACTCTACTTGAATCTTATTTTCTTGGTCTTTCAATTTCTTTCTCAACATTGAACATTCTTCTTCTAAATCTTGTATCAAATTATCTTTCTCCCTCAACTCAGTCTCAATATTTTCAAATGAAGCAGCTGTTTGAAGTTTATATTCTTGTTGTTTCAATTTTTCTCGAAGTCTGGAACAATCCTCATCAAGGTCTTGGATCTGGTTTTCTTTCTCATTTAAATCAGATTCATATTGGTCCAGTTTGTCTTTTATATTTGCATATTCATCTATTTTACTTTCAAAGCTAACTAGCTGACTTTGTAAGGATTTAACTTCTTCAGATTTGGCATGAAGGATGTTTTCCTCCTCTGCTCTTACAGAAGCCAAATGGTGTTGAACATTATCCATATCTGATTTCAATTGTTCTATCACCTCATGTTTTGTACGTAACTGATCATCTCTGATTTCAATCTTTGCTGTGAGGTCAGAAATCTTCTCTTCCTTCTCTTGTAACACCACATCATGTTCCTCAATACGAGAACCTGAGTCATAACTCTCTTTAAAATACGATAATTCTTCTCTCAATCTAGTAATCTCTAAATCTCTAGCTTCAATTTGCTGTCTAGCTGTTTCTGGAACACCCTGCACACCAGTAACAACTTCAGCTGTAATGCCTTCTTCCTCTACAAGTCTCATTGGAGCTTGTGTGTTCACAGCAAACATCAACTGCTGACTTTCTACACCCACTCCGGGCTGTCTCTGTCTCTCTAGACTTGATATAGGTTCTGCCTCCAGCTGTCGTGTTTTAACTTCCTGTTCAGAACTATGTTGTAGTACAGCTAACTCCATCTGAAGTGCTTGAATTGTGTCTTCCTTAGCATCCATGTCCTCTTGGCTGTAAGCCATATGTAACTGATGTTGTAATAATGCGGACTGACATTTCAATGCTTCAATTTTCTCATCTTTTTCATTCATTACTTTAGCAACATCTTCAGGCCTCATACTTTTTCTCAGTTTGTTTATTTCCTCTGTCAGAATATTGACACCCTCTTGATTGTCTGCTGATTTCAATTTTTGTCTGAGAGCACCAATTTGTTCATGTGAGATTCTTAGTTCCTCTGTACGGTCTTCACGGACCTGTACTCTTAGAGCAGCAAGTTCCTCTTTCAATTTTGAGATTTCTTTCTTGTTCTTTAACATCTGCTCATCACTTTCAGCATATGAATCTAGTTTCTCTCTCAATTCTGCAATGTCCTTCTTTAATTTTTGAATTTCTTCATCTTTATCTCTAAGAAGAATATTTGGTCCAAGCATTCCAGCTTCCTCTAATTTTCTTTGCAGATTTTCTGCTATTTTCAAATGTTCACTAACAGCATCTAATTCATCTTGCATTTTAGCCATTTTGGATTCTTTCTGAACAGACTCTTCCTTGATTTGATCAATTTCAGCTTCCTTTTCTTCTAACAACTTTTTAGTCTCCTGTTCCTCAGACTCCAAAGATTGAAGTTTCTGGTTTTCATTTTCCAATTCTACAATTCTATTCTGTAATTCTTTCATTTCTTCTAAAGTAGCTTCCTGTAAAACAAATGATAAAGATTACTAATCGTGGTGTTATGTAACAGCACAACAAACAATTGAAATTGTGCATTATGTTTAACTTCATCAAGTTCTGTTGTGATGTAATGTTAAATTTAGCAGGTAATAATAAATAAGAAAAGATATTCTGAAAGATATCAGTGTAAAGTTAACAAAACACAAATATAGCATTCCAAGCATCTAAAATAATTTCAGGAATACTTTTAATATTATAACAGGTATGACCATTCCAAACAAAAAGTTGATCAAATGATTGAAACTTTCGTTTCGACAAGCTTATTTTTTTCTCATTATAGTTATTTATTATTTGAACTGTTTATGGGACAAAATAAAAAAAAAATCAGAAAACAAACACAATTGAACACTTCTATTTAGCTTTGAAATGAAGTTCTAAATACTTAATTTTAAATGTGTCGCAAAAAAAAAACAAACACTTTTGACCCTATTCCCAATCAGGACTTCTGAAGATAGTTACTAACTGTTAAATAAATTCATGAACAAATTTTAAACAAGAAATTTCTCTGATAAATAAAAATGATTAAAAAGAAGCAAATTTTCTTTACCTGTTGTTCTACCTTTTCATTTAACATATACATCTCTTCAGCCTTCTCCTCTATAATATTATCTTTTTCTGCTAAATCTCTCCTCATTCTGGCTAAGTCTAGTTCCAATTTTACCTGAATCAGAAAGTTTTTATGATTGGAATCTGTTACAATATGACAATTTAGTTAATAATTGACAGATTATGGGTATGCATTTGGTATTCATGATTATTTCCTTATTTGTCTGAGCGCAGGCTACATAAAGGTGGCGGATGCTCGTTTCTGATGTTTGTTTTAATTTAATGTTTTAAGTCTGGTTGCAGACTTAAGTGTAGTTGAAGACCTCCAAGAACAAATTGAACAAAAGACATCATTGCTGTAAAAACTTTTTAAATTCACTAACCTGCTCAACTCTTCCTGCCATTCCAGTGGCAGTGACAATTTGATGTACACCATTTCCCTAACATTTTTGTACCACTGCACTTGTTCATGTGTATATACATGAGCACAACTATGTAACATTACCACAAATCATTAGTTAATGAGTAAATTGTCTGATACATGTAGCTTTCATAAATCATTCTATCTGTAAAAATATCTGCCTATCTACAGTTACGTACCACAGATTCATCGTCAGATGGTTTTTGTGTTAGTTCCTGAGTCAACAGATCTATTTCCCTTTCCTTATCTTCTATTTCCTTTACTTTTTCTTCTAACATAGCTTGAACCATGTCATAATCTTCCTGAAACTTTGTCTGTAAGAAAGAAGCATATCATATCCAAATTATACATATTTAACTCAAGTGCAAGAGGCTGTGGATTCAACTCCAAGCAAAACTAAAGACTGCCAAAGTAGTATTGACTTCTTCTCCTTTAAGCATGAAACTTTTAGGAGTTTAAGGAAAGACTGGTCAGCTCTCGGTCAGAATAATGTACATGTATCGGACTGGAATAAAATGCCTTCTGTAGACTAGCAAGCATATTGAAAAGCTGAAAAGCGTGTTCAACATTTTGATCTAGCATAAAGCATGCTTCATATCTTTTACATCAACTTCTTATCAAAATTGTTGTTCAAAGACTGCTGTCCATCTACCCATAAAGAGAATATTTCTGATAAATAATCATTTAAATAAATATCTCATCCAGTAGCTGTTCTGCATAAATTTTTCACAATGGCACAGTTATTTCAATCTCCTTGTAATCTGATATCTCTTGAAAATTCTTCCCTTTTGTTATATATAACTACCACAACAAAATATGGCTAAGCAAGGTGGTGATTTCAAAGCATTGGATCTAAAAACCCCAAACAAACAAATTTTATCAACCTCTCTTTACGTTTTATTCATCATAAACAAAATATATATTAGATGTTTTTATTTTGAAAAGTGATCAACTTATACAAATATTTTGGTTGTAGAACTACTATTTTTACAATTTTTTTTTTCAAATTTTGCAGTAAAAAACTTTCTGCATTTTTAAGCAAACTAGTATATTTGATTATTGAAAATTAAAAACTGAAATATCATACCTGGAAGTCATGCAAGCTTTCCACTTCATTATTTAATCCCTCTACTTGTATATTCAACTGATCAATGTAGGCTTCTTTTTCTTGCAAAACATCATTCAGAAGAACAGCATCCTCAGTCTGTCAGAAAATGAACATAATTATCACGAGAAGAAAAGAAATTTGGAAATTGAAAATTTCTATTGTGTTCAATACTTTTGTTAAAATTAAAAAAATGGAAAATAATACACTAATCATGTAATGGTATGTAAATTTTAAATTTTTATACTTCCTGATGCAATAAAAATCAAAATGATATAAATTAAGTGTACATTATATTTTTTTATGTTATAATGCTGGAAGTCTATTACAAGAGTAAGGTAGGGACTGTACAAGATAGAAATTTCCCCTGACATTTATATAAATTTCATAATGTTCAAGTTTATAACACATTGTCCTGCCTTACATCTAAGGATACAGGGGCATCATCAATACACATATGCATACCTTTGGTGGAGGTTCTACTTTGATTTCTAGCTCTGTTTTTAGAGATGTTATTTGTTCCTCCCTCTGTGTAAGACTACTCTTCAGCTGTTCTACTTCCTGTTGCAAATTACCAATCTGATCAATTTGATTAGCTACAGAATCATCTATCTCCTGCTGAAGACTTGTCTGTAAAATACAGATACATAGTAACATAATGATACATTGCTAAACATAGTTGAAAGAGTTTTCTAAAGCTCATGTTTATTGTAATATGTATATGTGTGCCAACTCGAAATAAAATTAACCTACTTACTTACTTGCATCTCTTTTTATGCATTCTAAATTCATGTATTAGTTTCATAAGAAGTATATTTCATTGAATGTACATCCCATTTTAAATTATCAGTCTGATCAACCACTTCATATTCTTATCCAATTAAAGTTAGTATATGGTAAGTGCTAGTCTAAATCAAAGCACAAGTGGTGCTGCAGGCCAGCCAATCTAACTTAATCACAAACCAGAAAACATAATGCCCCTACAACTATCGTAGGTGGGGCATAAAAATCAGCATATCTATGTCAATTGGTCTCTTGTGGAGAGTTATCTCATTGGCTATCATACCACATCTTCTTATTTTTATATATCAGCAAACAGTTAAACTACAATTAATTTGTAAATTTGTGATAAAAAACTTGTAGTCTTTCATCTATTTTTTGGAAAGGACATATTATTACTTTCATGAAAGAGTACTTAACATGCAATATTGACTACAGAGGAATGTATACAATTATCTTAGGGCAAATTTAATTTGTATTGACTTCGATAGTTTGTTATATATGTATCTTAATGTACATCAAGATTTTTCAACTCCCAGAATTTTAAGAAATGTACATCATATGTTCAAATAATGAGAGTGCCGAAATATCTCATCTGCATAACAGTTTATAATTGAATTTGATGTTTAAAGTCTTTAAGTTCAAGGTTTGAATACCTGTATAACAGAAACTTAACAATCTCAGAAAAGTGTGACGAAAATATATATTGGGAAAAAGGGACGGACAATGGCAATACAGAGGAAATACTACATAGAAATAATGCAATCAAAATTGAAAATAAAAGTTTTCTTTTATTTGTTGCTTACTCAACTATATTTTTAGAAACGATAAAACCATTACAAAAACTTTTGAATTTACATTATCTTGTATGCCATTCAGAGTTTTACATAATTGATAAAACCATAGGAATAATTGTACCAATATATGAGCAAAGTTTAAATATAAATATACAGACCTTTTCTGCAAATGAAGCACTGACTCCTGGCATTTCAGAGTCAGTAAAAGAACCATCTGAGGTGTGTGAAGCTCTGATAAAATCAAAGTTCTTTCTATCTAGCTCCCCTTGTAATCTTTCTACTTGATCACGCTGAAAATAAAAACAATTTAATAATTCTAAGTGTGAAAAAAGTAATGAATTGAAGTGCAATTTGGTCATCTTATATCTGTGATATAAATTCTAAAAAATCATTATTCATAGTATAACTAATCAAAGAATTCAAATATAAAAAAATATTCAACATGTGACCGAACAACACATTAATTCATGAATGCACGTTGGGCATGAGTTAATTATCAGTGTTGTTGGTCACGAGTTGAATATTTTTTTTATATCTGACATCTTCGATTAGTAATCTTTTTATTTACATTGACCATGGGCTCTTTTAGTTATTCTTTTTACTTACATTGACCATGGGCTTTTTAATGAAAATGAACATAATTCACAATTAATCGTAAATTCTATCCTCAATGAATAATATTTACCAAATTGACAATTTCCTCTCCAGAACTAAGTTTATTCAAATCCTCTTGTAATTGATGAACTTGATCATTCAGATGGTCAATTTCTTGGTTTTTCTCGTCAATGAGAGTTTGTGTGAAGGGAGATACTTCTGAAGGAAACTGACTCTGTAAAGATTTTACTTTCTCCTGCAAAAGACAAAAACAATCATTTAACCAAAAAAACTCTGACACAAAATGTCATGTTTCTAAGAACTTCACAAATAGCCAATAAGACAGAATCTTAATGTGAAGGCAAATCTACAGAACTTTTACATTATACAGTCAAACCTGTATTAAGCAGTCACTCTTAGGAAGTATCAAAAGGTGACCTTTAAAATAGGTTCCAAAAAATTCTGATTCCGACATCACCCTTTCCTGGGATTCTGTTTAATTGTTTTAGTGTTTTCAATCGGTAGAGTTATCGTACTTGTAAGCAATAAAATAAAAAATGGTGGATCCCATAGCTGTAAATTTGAAGAAAATGTTGAAATATGTTAATATTCGTGGGGAAATAAGTCGCTGATACTGTTTACAATGAAAACTGAAAAGAGTGGAACAAGGGGAATTCAAATTTCACCTTCTATAATAATATTGCATGATCTCGGCTGCAAACAGGTTTCGATTTTCATTGACTTCTGTATTGACAAGATATATTTTTCGTCATGAAGATTTTTTGGTAGTTAAAAATATTAAAATGACTGTTGTTAAAAGTTGATGAGTTTGTTCGAAAATAAGGCGACTGCTGAAATGAGTTAAATTATATAGAGAAAACATTTGGGAGGGTCTGAAAGTGACTATTAGAGGCAGGTGATCGCTGAAACGAGGTGACTGTTAAGGCAGGTTTGACTATATGACCCTTTTTCAGAAGATTGCATGTTTCTTTAAAGGATGTATCACATTAAAAAGGATTCTCCTAAATGCTTTCATAACCTCAGATTTACAGACATTTAAGATCTGACTGGATTTATCTCACTATTAAATTCATAATGAAACTCTTAACTTCATCTTGTGCAAAATATTTAAACTAGAAAACCCAGTTTAGGGCTATTCCATTAAAATGTATGTGGGAGGGTAGGAAGGGAAGTTTAATTATTGAATGTGGGTCATGGGTCATTTTTCAGTATGCGTCTATTACCATTATGCAAAATTATCTAAAAAATGGTTCTTGGTTGTAGGGATATTTTGAAAGTCCCTTCCTACCCTCCCACATACATTTTAATGGAATAGCCCTTAGAGGGAGTTGCAGATGGGGGATGTAACAATCATAATATTAAAGGGCAAAGTCCATGCTTTTATATGGCAAACCCCAGAAATCATTCTGTTCAGAAAGTAAAATAGGAGGTGCACAATGGAATTATGTCATGAAAAGTCCATGAAAGTTTGATTAAAAATTCATTCATTGGTTAAAGAAGGGTTAAGGATGAAGGTAGTTCACCCCTATAATATGAAATTGAAAAGTCCATATTTGGTATAAGAAACCCCAGAAATTGTTCTGATCAAAAAGTAAAATAGGAGATGCACAAGTACATTACATAATAAAGATTATGTGAAAGCCGACAGGCAAAAGGACAAACAAAAGGACATCTCAATCACTATATACCCCCACTTAATAATGAGCTTGATGGTAATACTGACCATTAAACTTTCATTTTCTCTTTCAAGTTGGCTGACTCTGTCATCATATTGACTGGTAACTTCCTCTATTGGTACCTTCCTACCCTGCGATGTAAGTTGCTGTATGTGTTGCTCTTTATTATTTAACTGGTCTTCCAAATCTTCTATCTGAACTTGAAGTTGTGACACCTTTAATGTGGATAATTTGAGATGTAATCTTATAAATATCACGGACTGTATGTAAAACATATCATGAAAGAAGATATATATAGTTAAAAGAATGCATATTACTCTTTTTGATCCGATATGTATATTACCTTCCACAATTAATGAAAATATAAAAAAATCAAAGATAGACAATTTTCAACTAAAGGACCAATGAAAACCTGGAGAATTGTGTACAGTCTACAAGACTGATTGAATTTTTTTTAGTTACCCTATTTCTTTTCTGAACTGAATCCATGAGTTCAATGACTTATTTGAATGGTTTATAAAGCCACTGATTTTGTTTGCTGTTGAATCAAAGCTAATCGAGACATTTTGAATTGTATAATTTCTACAGTGTTCATTTTATCTTAATCACCTTTATTTCTTTCTCTTCCAGGAGTTCTTTTTCCCTCTCCAATTGTCTTTGTAAGGTAGAGTTCTGTGTATCCCCTCCATAGTCTCCCCTATGTCTCATTTCGTCCATCTGAATTTCCAATGCAGACATCTGTTTCATGTAATCCTCTACTTGTTTCTGTAATTCTTCTTTTTCATGGATAAGTTCCTATGTATGAAAGATTATCCCATGTAGTGTAGAAGATATGATAAAAAAAAACTTGTGTTCCCCATTCAAAGAATTCAACAATAGAGAAGAAAGTATCCTATTAGATATCAAAATAAGATAGAATCACTGATTTAATATCTGTAGTTTAGGACAATTTGAAGTGATCACTATAATCAGCCGTGTTTGAATGCTTCATCCAGATGTCACAAGACTAAGACATGGTGATTTGTTCATTAGTAGATCCTTCAGAAAATGTTGGTGTTCTACTAAGTATATACTTGAAATAAGAAATTATTAAACCTACGAACTTTTCTGGTTTTCCTAGAAAACTATCGTCTTTATAAAAATAATGTGGCATGGTATGATTGCCAATGAGACAACTATCCACCATAGAACAAGGACGTAAAGAATTTTGTATAAATTTTTAAAAACAAGTGTTTTACTAATCTTCTACATTTGCATTTATTCAAATAATATTTGTGTTAAGATACTATGTATAATATACATGTTACCCTGTGTTTATTAAGCAAGTATTACATTTCCATAGACGGTAACTCTTGTCCCAAATAATTACAATATTACTGAGCACTTTAACATTTACAATTTTAAAAGTACCTCTTCTTGTTTAACTGAGACCTGATGTGATGGTAAAAATCTTCGCCTCCTGTGACCTCTAGGCTGTCTGGTACCATCTATATCAGTGTCCACTTCCTCTCCAGGGGGAGGTGACTCTGTACCTGAATCCTCTTCCATCTCATCTCGTTTTTGTAACTCCTCCTCCAGGGTAACTATTTTCTAGAAAAAAAACATTAACAAAAGATTATAAATATGTTCCATACTACATGTATATTATCCATCCATTTTCTTTCATACCTGTATAGATATTGAGATTTACCCTGAAGAACCACAGTACACGGTCTAATTAAAACCTATTGATCTATTTCAATTGGAATAAAAAACAAACTTCTCTCAGTTTTGAGCCTTTTAATATTTAAAATAGGAATTATATTGGTTATGAGCTATCAGAACTGCAACTTTTTTTTACATTTGATAGTGAATATGACTGTGATATAATGCAGAAAATGGATCATTTATCAATCTCAGACTCATATATTTCAGATTGGAAAATTATGCATAGTACATGTGTTTTAATATTTATAATTTTCCTCTTAAACTGACATTACATTTAGACTACGAAAAATACAATATCTTTTCTTGACAACAACATAACGTGTATTCAAAATTGTTTATAATATTACATTAACATAGTGATATGCTTCAAACTTTCTATGAATAAGCATTAGTGTTAACAAAGTTATTTACCTACATCAAGTAAATAGATAATGAAATGTTTGTATGAATAGAATTCTGTCTTATTGATTGACCCATTGTTGATGTTAAACTTATAGCAATTTTGGCTATATTGTGGCAGCCAGTTTTTATTGGTGGAGGAACATGTCTTTAAAAAAAATCCACAATATGGGCTAATTCAAGATTAGAGAGCAAAAAAATATATTCATCATAAATGGTCCAATCAATTCATTATCTTTGGTATCTTACCTGTTTGAGTTGATTTTCTTTGATGTTTTTGTCTTCAATTTCTAGCTCCAGCTGTCGAACAAGAATATTCAGTTCTTCAGTTGTAAGCTTTTTCTCACGCAAATCTCTCTGGAGTTTTTCTGTTTGTAACACTATCTCACTATGACTGTTCATTCGATCCTCAAGTTCCTCAGTTAGATCATCAACCTGTAGATATTTGGAAAATTATTAATGCATAACTTATCTTATAATGTGCATTATAAACAAATAAGAAATCTCTTATTTTTTCTTTATGTAGGAAAGTGTGTTTTACATTGAGAAAAATTAAAAGTCAATCATAATTTCTTTTTTCACTGTAATAGAATTCTACCTAAGTTTAGAGTATGAAGCAACATTAATTTACATAAATCATTAGATATATCTTATTCTTTCTTGAATATAGAATTTATATATAGGTATGCATTCTCAAGATTAAAGCTTTTTTCATTATGACTTATCAGTTACTTAAAACGATTAAACAATGACAAATAATGCATTTGCTAATTGTTGAAGATCATTCATGTATGGATGGCATTTGTTACTGGGTTACTATCTCTGGCATTTGTTTTACAATATTTCCACCGTTCCACCATTAAAAGCATTTATCAACTGTCCTCCCATATTTAATAATGTATAACAACTAACCTCTTTCTGAAGTCTTCCCTCTGTTTTATTTAACTTGTCTTTGTTTAGAGACTCTTGTTTCCATTTATTTATCTCCCTCTGGAACTCTTCTTGTTCTTGTTCTCTTTCAATAGTTTGTTCCTAAAGCATAAATAATTATTATTTTACTAATTTCATAAATCATTCCACATATATTATGCCTGTTGGGCAAAGGAAAAGATGCATCTTCTAGGTAATTTTTCATTGTATTTAGACAGATTCTCTGATTTCATAATATGCATTCAGATTTTGTATAATATATATTTATCAATTTTACCAGCTGAAAGTATTTAGACAGAAAAATACAATATAAACGTGAGGAAAGTCATTTTTGTACATTTATTATGAATATCATATCATAGTTCAATACCAACAGCTGCTAATACAAAGTGGTTTGACCTGAGTAAAGCCAACTGTTTATATGTTTACTCTGGGTCTACATTATATGACATTTTCAATTGTTTAGTATATTTAAATGTGGATTGACTTCATTGCTAGCTTTCATATGATAAGACAATGGGTTACTATATTTTTTGCATTCATATCACTTTTAAACTTACAAAATGTTTGTACCCATTTCTACAATTAACTTCACTTAGCATACATATAGTGTTAAATAAAAATAATATGAATAATGTTAATTTCCTGTTAGGAAGCATCAGACATATATGTATATATATATATATATATATATTTAAGCTTTCAAAACATGTGTATATTTAAAAATACATTTTGTTTTATTAGCAATAGACGTTGATTGTGTAACTTTATCTGGAAAGTTAGAGTGAATGATTAAACTATTAGTATTTTTTGTATTACTTCATTAGAATATAGACTTTAAGAATAAAGAGATTCAGCTTATATATATATATTGAAATCAGTTCTCTTTATATCAAAGATTTCTAACCTGAACGGTTACAAGAATGGTGTATACAGCAACAGAAATAACTTAACCATCTTCCTGGGAAGTGCAAAAACTTATAACCTAACAAAGCTTTGGTGAATGGACTAAATTCTTCATTCTACAGGGTTGCCATAGTAATAATATAGTCACTTTATAACTTATATCTGTTATACTATATATAGTTTCATGCATTTATATCTATGTATTCATTTATATATCATTGGTTACAAAGTCTTTAATTTACTTTGAAATACTGTGAATTAGTTGGAATTCTTTTCTAATACCTGTAAATTCCCAAAAGTATTATTTCTGTGTTCAGTTCTATTATTCTGGGTACTACTTTGATAATATGACAATAAAAAGCTGGTCGAGTCTGATTTTTTTAAGGAAAAATAAATGCAATATTGCTTTGACTATTACATGTCAGCTCTGAATGTTACAAAATTTAAATTTCAGCTAAGAACAGATTCTTTTTCATGGCTTAATAAGTTAAATGACATTAAGATTTTTCAATTTCAAAATATTTGATTATCCAGACAAAAAGTCATTAATCTTAGTTCCAAGTGTATACAGTAGTTGGTGACAAGATTATCAAGCCCAATAAATCTCATTTTGAATTGCCATTCCAAACCTATGATGATTTTTCCGACATGCCTTATAAATTTAAAATAAGATTTCATGCTAAAAACAAGTAAAGAACAGGCAAATAAAACTGTTATCTGCAAATATTGAAGCCGTTTTTTTTCCATGAATTTTTCATATTCTAATTGACAACAATGAACATTGCCTAATGCATTGCTTTTTTTTTAATTTTCAGAATGCTTGATTTATAAACATTATTCATGTTCTAAAAAGACATTTAAGTTACCAGAATCTATTTTTTTAAACAATCTGCAGATAACAACCAAATGTAATGAACTTCAGAGAAAAAAAGTAAGTGTAAAATATAATATAGAAAACAAATGGCTATGTCATGTGTATCTTACAGAATTTGTGGAAGTCGACTGAAAAAACACAATACACAGTGCAAAGTGAGGCATCATGCAACACATACATATAAGAGATAAAACATTCTTATAGTTATATCACCCTCTGACACTATCAGGCCATGAAGAAAGACAACTTCTTTTTTATATTTCTTTATGAAAATTACTTTTGATTAATTGATTGTTTCTTGCTTAAAGTTCAAAGACTAATGTCACTTTCACTAATGATACAATAAATGTAATAAAGACATTTGGTGTTATAATACATTTTCTGTAAGCTAGATCAGGACTTCTAAAACTGACACTCAAAACTTTTTTCATAACCTGACACATTTCAATAAAGTCTACAGTAAAATCTTCTTCATTCAAATCTAAAACTAAGTTGTGTTTCTTTACTATGTAATACAAGAACTGCTGTTTCATTTTATAGAAATGAAACATTCTCCAGTTATTCAGCAAAAACCTTAAAAATTTGCTATATTTTTCACTTAATTAGGGCCATACATGTATCTCTAAAATAAAAAAATAAAACACCTAAAAAATGTAAATTTGAACTTGATTTTTGCTAACAAGCTCTTGTAATTCATTTCATGTTTCAAATGGCTTTCCTATGAAAATTGTTGAGTGGAAACCTAAAATTTGTTAATTGTGTCCCATTTTAAAAAGGCATAACTGATAAGGGACAAACATTAAAAACATCAATTCTGTATTAGGAGATTCTGTATTTAGTGGTTACTCATAAGATTTCAAAATTTTAAACAATTTTGTCATGGAAACTTAGGTTATTTTATGTAAAGCAATTTATAAAATGGAGACAGATTAAAGAAAATTAAATGCCCAAAATTCCTATTGATTGGGGATTAAAACATCAACTTTTCAAGGCTTGCATAGGCAATAAAAAAAATTCAAATAGACTTTATTGGAGACGACCTTGGAAGTTTGTATTTTTTGACCTATTCATTGTCATGTTTTTTTGCGGCTAAAATTAAATATGTTTAAAGTAAATAAATGAAGAAGATTTTATTGTAAATATAATATCATCAAATATCAATACTTTGTTAAAACTTTCACCATAATTAATTAGTATGTATTGTTCCATGCATATCAAAAATTCCATGACAAACAAATATGTATGATGCAGTTCATAATTATATTCCTCTGTTTTTTATAAATGAAAGAATTTCTTTGCAGTAAAAGAAAAATAATAACTGCTATTATCTGATTCTAAAGCAAAAGCTATGAACATTGTTTTCTGTACAAGCTTTGCTTTAGATAGTGGTAAATCATATACAGGAAAAATTATAATGTATATGATGTATTGGAGATAAAACAACAAACACAAACCAGGATTATATAACTACCTCAAGGAACTGTTTATTATATTTAAGCTGTTTTTCAACAGCATCCACTTTTAGCTGCATTTCAACGATTTCTGCTTTCTTATCCTCTAGTATCTGTAAGTAGTGTCTCTCTGTCTCTTCTCCGGCATTCTGTAAATCACGTACTCTTCCCTCATATTTATCTTGAAGTTCTCTCACTTGCTGTTGTAAATCTCTTTTATCGTCATTCAAACGATTCACTTCCAGTAACAGAGCTATTAAAATTCATAAAGATCAAGTCATATTATGTTTAAACTTTTTAACCACAAAAACTATTTAGTGCTGAAAATATTTTCTTATTTGTAAACTGATTAACAGAATTAGGAAATACTATACACATGGGTAATGTGTGCATCAGATCTTTGACAAAAGGACAATAGTTTTACTACAAATACCATTTGGCAAACAGTGTCAGGATAAAATTTGTCTTTTTTTGCTTGGGTATGAAATGAGAAGAGGTGTACACACAGTAACAGACATAAGATATCACAGCAAACATGCAAATACACACGGAAATTTGTGATAATATTTGTTGCTTTTGTTATGCAGACCTACAATGGTATGTTAAATGTCTAAAATCTACTAAAATTCAATAAAATTACAGCTAATTTACAATCCCAATTTAAATAATTATATCTAAAATAAATTACAAAGTCTGAAAATCTAACTTTCATTTTCTTATCACCCAAACATCTAAGAGCAACATACCATATACAATTTTCCTTGAACTCATCAAATCTTTAGTCTCTTTTAGGCGATTACCCATTACAAGACTTGATCACTTTCAATTAAAAGTATATGGTATGTCAGCCTGTGCAAGAATTTAAAAAATCTGACACTCAATTTAAGGCAACTTAAAGTCAACAGTACATATTTTTTTTTTTTTAAATTGATATAAAACCATATTCATTGATATAGTAGTGTAGTTGTAAATCCACTGGATGATTGTTAGTCATTGCTATGGCATGTAGAAGAGACATCCAGTACTTGTTAATTTATTGTTTTCGAAATTATCATGTGATTAGCAGGACTAACACACACAAACTCAGAGATAAGAGTAAAATACATTATTTTTAATATACTGGTAATCACCAACTTTGGTCCAGCATCTACATGTATTCAGGCTTCATTTTGGCTTAATTTGATGTCAGATATGTAAATTCTCTGGAGGTTTACTTTATTCTAAACATTTTTATTCTTTTTGAATAAATCTTTAACATTTTCATACATTCCAAACCAAAACTCAAGAAACTAGTCCTATCTGTTGTAATTCTTATTAAAGTTTTGATGAAGTATGGTGAAATAAAGTTTGTCACATGAACCAAGAAGTGTGCAAATGACAAATATATATATATATATATATATGTGTGTCTGTTTGTGTGTCATATGTTTAGGTGTTCAGTAGTTGATTATTCACACACCATGCAAAACAGAATCAGCTGACAAATTACTTTGTAATATTTGAAATGTCTATTGAAAATTTCATTTCCAAATTTTATTTTTATTTCATTTTATACATTAATTTATCAGCTGATATGAGAAAGCTCAATAGTTCACAACACACATTGGTTTTAACTCACACATATTACTTGTGAAGTGACGAATGCTGACAAAACAGCTGACAAAAGATAATTGTTATGCATGAATATTGCTTTAGAGTTTAAAAAAAAAATCATGATGTAAACATCCAATTAAATCATTCTCCAAAATCATTTTAGCATCATATTTTTCTATCCAGCATTCAAGTATAAGGCGTATTATAATGGAAGTCTTGCTATAATTCTAAATCACACAGAATGATTAATTTATCCATCATGCATATTTCTTTGAAAAAAGACCAAAACTTCTACTAAATACACACAGTTCATCTAATATGTATAAAATAGTTGTCAGGAAACCAGATTCTAACAAATTGGTCATGCTTAACTATAATTGCAATGAGGACGAACCTTCTCTATTAGGTGGCACTGCCTCTGTGGTTGTCAAGGTAACTGTGTATAAACAATACGGCATTAGCCATGCAAACAAAAAATTCAATGAAGAAAGATATACTTCACAATTTTGTATATTTAAAAAAAAAATACTGAAATTAAATTGACATGCTTAGTAAAAAGCTATAAGCTTTATATTATGAAAATGCATGTAGTTTAATCTGGAAATTATCTCTAAGCATCAACTAGAAGAAATATTATACAGCAAAATGCAATTCTTTCAAAAAAGCAATAATTAAAATATACGACAAAAGATTTTCCTTTTTTTTTATCCTATCATTGTTAAGAAAGCATATAACAGTTTTAAAGAGGAGGTATTAATTCTTTCAAGCAATATAAACACTCATGCCCATAACCATGCAGGGTTAGTAAATTATACATGCAAAACATGCACATAGAGCTGTCATTATTATAACAAATGTTATAGCAGGGGACATACAGCATACACAAAAGTATGCTTACATGTTGTAATGTTATAGCAGGGGACATACAGCATACACAAAAGCATGCTTACATGTTGTAATGTTATAAGAGCATTTATTCTTTGATGTTCAAAGATGTTCGTTCACATAGTATGAAATAAAATTATTCACATTGTTTATTGGACTAACCAAAGAAGATTTTGTTTTTAAATCAAAAATAAGAAACTCTTGAACAGTTTAATAAGCTCTGTAAAATTCTGTGCATGAGCCAATTTAGACTTTTAAGGAAAAAGTCTTTTTTTATATTTTTTCATTGTTAAATTCATTTGGTTTGTTTAAACTTTATCAATATTTCTTTGTGTATGATATTGACACCACATTTAATATATCACCTCTTGGGGAATCTTCTTGAGAACAGTACACACTAAGCAACCACTGGAATATTCAGATATAGTTTCTGAATACATCATTAACTACTAAATTAGAATTTTGATCTTTTCTTTTAAAAATATTAATACAAGAAAATAGTGCTCTCATTGTATCCATTTACAAGCAGGTAGCCATATTTTCTACTAGTACTAAAATCATTATAAATTGTAACTTAGAATACATGTTTCATGATGGCTACTTTTAGAAAAAAATATGTATTTCAAACAACATTCTAATCTTTTTTTTATTGAGTGACAATATTCAAACTTGAAAAGAAAGATATCTTAGAGTAATTCATTCTTTACTATTGTCTAAGGATTCTTTTTTTTTTTTGAAATATTTTGTTTCTTCTAAAAATAGCCATTACTAACCGTAGTCAAATTTAGTTACTCAATTTCACATTTTCCTTTTTTTACTATTTTACTTTACAACATGATATATTAAAATTTCAAAAGAAAATTAAAAAAAATAATTTTCATTACATATCTGATCCAGAATAAGAAATTAATAAATACAATCTATCTGGAACCACAAATGCCCATTTTGAAAATAAAAATTTATGCAATTGGAATTTGATACTTGAATCCTTTATAACTAAATATGACTGCTGTTCCTGTTAAAGCAAAATAATGCAATAATAAAATAGTAGCTTTGCTGGAAGCTGAATAACCTGGTCATGCAACTGGATGAATAACTGGTACCCTATTTCCCTTTATCATGCATATCAACAAGTCCTTTATATAGGGATAACCAAAACTGTATAATGGGTCCTCAAATGTCAGATATAATCTGCTTTAAGCTGACAAAGGCATATTCTGATATGTTCCTTGGTCATAAAAATATATTCTGTTCAAAAATTTATCAAAAATATCATAACAATATTTGTAGAATAAAATCTGACATCTGAAAACCAACTGAAGAATAACCAACTACCACAGGCAAATTTCCCTCAAATTTTAACTACCTTGAATGAATTTTTGTACACTGCCTTTTCCTGTCCATGCAGTTCCACAATCTTTTATTTACAATACCAACCATTTGAATGACTGCTAAAACAACTTAAAACTTATTTAGCAATGATATCAAATTACATGCAAATTAAAAAAGAAATAAAAAATGAATTAAACCTTTGCGGTCTCTTTTTAGATATGTTTATAGCAATATTTTTTAAGTAATGTACAAATTATTACACATAAAGATAAATTTGTTAAAAGAACTACCAAAGTGTTGAATCTTACATAATTTACTAATTTTAAGTGCCAGTCTTTGTAAGAATCAGGCAATATAGAAGAATTTCAAAACATGGCCGAAAAAAACCCACTGACCTAACAATGCTATTTTTTAGTTACCCTCATCTTGAGTTAGAAATGGTAGGTCTTTCGTTTCTGTGTGTCTGGTAATTCAAGAAATCTCTATATAAATTTTGGTTAGAATGATAGGAAATTACTGAGTATGCTCCCCTTAATTCGTAATTTCTAGTGCATTTCAACCAAATTATATCTTGAAATACCAGAACAGGAAAGGAAACGAATATTATATTTGTGCACCATTATACATTTTGAAATTAAATTAATGTAAACTTGAGTGGGTTTTTGTTTGTCATGTTTTCACCACTGCCTGATTCTTAGGCAGATTGGCACTTAAAGGATCAAAGTATAAAAATCAGATTATTGGGCAATAAAAGGAATATCACAGCTGAAAATGCTGTATTTACAAAGTCTACTTTCTGATTATACATGTTAACAGCTGTAAAAAAAATCTTTATCACAATGTGGAAAAAACATGCTTACCAATTATCAGGGTTGCTGCTTTTGACATTGTAAAATATCAGCTAGGAGTCACAACTTGGAAATTTTTTGGCAGTTTTTTTATGACCTCAGATAGTATTATTTTGCAACTTTTATGTTTGAGGAAAATGTGATAGTCTATTTAATTCATTGTACTTGTGTGGTTTCCGCATTTGAATAATTGTATTCTTTTTTAATTTACTATGCTTAATGGAAGAAGACTTGATCAGTTCAGAACATAATAATCAATAAGTCCAGTTCAAAGTTAGTTAGGACATTTCAAACACAAATTTCACATCCCCAAGCCATAAAATGTGATTCTACAAAGGATGAGTAGAGTGATACAGATACAAGAAAAGACGATAATGTGTGCATCAAATTCCACTGCTTAACACTTAATTCATAAGATTTAATTGTATACTAAGTGCTTTTCCTGGATAAACATTCTTCAAATTCCTGTATTATTGAGGCCAATTGTTTAAAAGGCCCCTTCCCTTAAAATATTAGTTATCTTAAGAAAAAGGCTTTAATTTATATTAGAGGCATACAAACCAAAATTAAAATGCTATCAACATTTTTATTAATTTCCCAAAATATGATTATTACAACAAATACCCCTATTGTTATGAAAATAAACCCCATTTGTGTATCATTTGATTAAATAAAATTACCAACAACTAACAAAGATACCAACAACTGCATGACAGGAAAAGGCCTGTGAATAGTTTTAAAAATGGTAAAATATTGTACATAATTAGAAAAAAAATAACTGTTAAAATGCTAAAAAGTCAACAAGGTGCATATGAACCCATGCATGGCAATAACTGCTTTTAATTCATCCAATATTGCAACAGGCAACAGCCAACAGCAACTCCAATGGGGAGTAAATAATTTTTATATCGGTTAAAACCTTGGGCTTCCTCCCCGACATTGCCCTGGATAAGGGACTGTTGTCTCTGAAGTTCTGATCGAAGGGAAACAGCTTCATGGTGGATACTTTCTAAGTCCTGTAGCTTGTTTTTAGTTGTCTCAAGTTCCAAAACCAGAGCTTCCTTTTTTTCCTCGAGATCTGCAATCTGTTGGTTCAAAGTTTCTCTCTCAGAACTGTATCCCTCAATTAAACCTGAATAAATAAATTAAAACTGAATCTAAAATCAGTGGTGTCATGTATGAAAAGAAATACATGATGAATAAAATGCTCCGCTGGGGCGCAGCTTGATACGACCGCAGAGGTCGAACCCTGAACAGTTGGGGCAAGTATGGACACAACATTCAAGCTTGATACAGCTCTGAATTTAAATTGTGATTAAATATTTGACACAGCATAGGTTTCTGACACAGAATGAATGTGGTCTAAGAACTTAACAAATTTTAATTTACCTATTCAAACCATATCATTATTATTTGCTTTTATATATAAATCAGAAATAACCAAGGCCATAAAAAAGAATATGTTTGTTTGCCCTAACCCTACCTACCAAGAAAATATCTGCCTACTCAAAATCTTTTATTGTCTTGATGTGAAATTTTTTTTTTTTAATCAGATAGGCATGAAGACTAAACACAATCTGACACTTCAATTTCTCTTTGCCGAAATTGCCTACCTACCTACCCACTGTCTCTACCTTTGGGTAAACCAAAATATTTTTAGATGTGGCCCAATTTAAAATGGAAAATTTTAAAGAAAAAAAAAGGAAAAAAAGGGAAAAAAAATCCCCCCCCCCCCCAATTTTTTGAACCCCCTTATGATTCATCACCCCAAAACTCAATAACAGTCTTCCCTTTTTGGTATGGTACCTTGCAATACAATTTCAGAGAGATCCATACACTTGAACACAAGTTATTGTCTGGAAACTAGAAAAATGCTTGTTTTTTGGCCCCTTTTTGGACCATTTTTCCTAAACGTTTTGGGCAATTACCCCCAAACTCAATTCCCCTTTGTGATATGGAACCTTGTAGTACAATTTCAGAAAGATCCATACACTTACACACAAGTTATTGTCATGAAACTAGAAAAATGCTTGTTTTTTGCCCCTTTTTTGGCCCCTAATTCCTAAAATTTTGAGGCAATTACCCCCAAAATCAATCCCAGCCTTCCCTTTGTGATATGGAACCTTGTGGTACAATGTCAGAGAGATCCATACACTAACACACAAGTTATGTCTGGAAGTTACAAAAATGCTTATTTTTGGCCCCTAATTCCTTAACTGTTGATACCATAACCCCCAAAATCAATCCCAACCTTCCTTTTGTGGTATTGAACCTTATGGTAAAATTTCATAGAGATCCATTCACTTAAACTAAAGTTAGAGTGCGAAAATCAATGTGTCTTCGGACGACGACGACGACTAGGACGCCAACTTCATACCAATATACGACCACAAAATTTTTTTGCGGTCGTATAAAAATCAGGGGTATTATACATAAGAAATTGGTATTTTTTCTCGTTTCCTTTACACATTTTTTCAACAGGTTGTCCTATTGAAGTATGCCACAATTTTACACTTAAATTGTAATGCTGATGATAAAACTTCTCCTCTGAGATTATTTTTGTTCCTACAAAGCTGTGATATGAGATTTACAGTGAACTGAAAACAGTAAAAAAGGAGTAAGGAAGCAAGATAATCATGAAAATAAAATCTTATGAAAATTAATAAAGGCTTGGTCTGTATCGTGTTGACATGGTTATAGTCACTAAGACATACAAACATACTGAAACACACACACCTTATGCACAAACAGTACCTTACTACATTTCCATCTGCAATTTTTTTGCAAACTAGTAATACAAGTCCTGTGCTGTTAGTGATTTCCTGTTTCTTCAAAGCCAGTTCATGTAAGCCAACCAAATTTTCTTTATTTTCAACTTTTTATGTGACAGAAAAATAATATTGAGATCATCTGTAATTTTTTGACGCCATTTATTCTTAAAGTTTAAAAGTTAAAAGGTCATTGAAAAGAAAGATAGAACCCAAACCTTCAGCCTTATGAAGTTCGACAGCCAGATATTCTTTGGCTTTTATCTCCTGTCGGAGTTGCTCTTGGAGATCCTGAACCTGGTTGTTCATCTGATTTGAGTCCTCTTCTTTGATATTTACATGATCAACCAGTTCATGTTGTGTGTTACGAGCCTCTAGAAGCTGGTTTGTTGTTTCTTCTATCATCTCGAGAAGTCTAGACACAGAGTTCTGTAGTCGATGACTGGCATCTAAAGAAACATTAATGATCATCTTACATTTATTTTTATTTCTTTACTCTAATATTTTTTATGTTAGTTCCTGATTTAATGTTCATTTAAATTATTTTCAGTATGTAATTAGAATGAAATAATTCAGGGAAGTATGAATGAGTTATAATTATTTCATTTGGATGGCACCTACAAATTTCACTCCATTTCATCTTATATGCAATTTCATCATTTTACTATTTGGTTTAAAAACATGGTGTACTAAGACTACTTTGCCAGTCATAAGTTAGATATTCCTTTCAAATGAAATGATATAAAATCATTTGATCTATATAAGAACTCCATCATAGCCTCTAAGAACTTCAGTAACAAATATCTATAAAAATAGTGCAGTAATAATGTAAATTAGTTTTCATTTCCCTATCACTTCAAGGAATACCATTATACAGCTATCCAATATCAATTTAATGACAACAGTTTCAGTCACTATTTATTTCAAGGATGAGTGTTTTTACAATTAGTAAAACCTTCTCTATCTTAATCTTACAAAGTACTTTAATAGATATCCTTCTAAATATAGTTGTTTTCCATTTCAACTCAAACAATCAAAGTTTATATAGAAGTTCACAGATTTTTTTACTCTTCTTGAAGAAAACAAAATTCGAAAATGCTATTCAACACTTTTAAAAAGGTTAAAAATCAGTTTTACTTTTTTATTGATTTACTAATAATTAGTAACAGTGTCTTTGTCAGCAATCAGATTATAGAATTAGTCAAACTTTGTAACTATTTCCACTGTTAATGTAAATTTTTGTCAGAATCGGCTATCGCTTCTCTTAACATTCATAAGTACATAACTTCCTACATTATTACACAATTTGAATGATTATTACAAACTTCCCCTTCCTTTTTATTATATAAATACAAGTACATGTATGAACACTTTGTGTAGTGAATACAAACATGATGTGTATCTGAACAAAAGCTTTACATTAAATTATGTCTAAAAGAAAATGTTTTGTTCATCTTTGATATAATATTAGCAATCACATAATTAATTAACTGTTGATGACATACATTTTCTAAACTCACCTTTTATATATTTATTTATTTCATAAATCCTTAATATTTCCAATTCTATATAGTATCAGCATTTTAAAAACAACATTTGTTCACATATGTAAAGAATGTTAATTATTTTTAAATACTAATAAGAAAATAACTTTTGTAAACTTATTGTCCTTCAAATTATGTGTATTGATTTTTCCTGTTAATTAACTTGTCTAAGCCTTTAAAAGAGGATCCATTCACTCATCCATAACACACATGTATCGTCAACTTATTTCCTTTTTTTGAAGAACCTGAAGTATCAATTTGTACACGGGAAGTTGGAAAACCTTGGACCTTAATAAGTTTCTATTTTTAGATTAGATCAATATATAATGATGCATGTGTTAAACAACCGTAGAAAATTGAAGGTGATTACATTTCTGGCTGATACGATTCTCCTTAAAGTAGTTAATATGCTTTTTATGGTTATGTGTCAACTTAAAAAATATTTAAAGCTTGGGTCTATTAGGAAATAATATGTTCCAAAGTTTTAATATCACAATTAATTCACCTTTATAATTCAACAACATTACTTTGTCTCTTATGTGACTTACTAGCTTTTTATTCTTAATGTTATTGTATGGTCGTAATAGAAAAGTAGGTTATGCAACTAACAATCAGTCAATAAATGTTATAAAAATCACAGCTGTATCTACCATTGACTTTTGCGAATTTTTAAACCCATCATTTTTTTTTAATTGTAAAACTTCACCAATAAACTCACCCCACTTTTAACCTGTCTAAATCCCAAACATAACCAACTTTATATGTCTTGATGTTACAGGGAGAACAAGAACAAGCAAAACTATCTTAAATTTCAAGATTATGTCTACTAGATTATCTAGATATCATCCATAGATAATCTTTACTTAATCTTATAGAAAAAACTGTTATGTGTATTTGTCAATGAAAATGTCATTTAAATGACCACATACTGGAATTATAAATATTTCTTAACAAAAAAATTGATCCTAGTTTATATCTGATTAAATTACATCATTAAATCACTTTAAATCACTTCAAGAGGACTCTTTGTACATTTATTTCAATGTCATCTTTTTAATATAAATCTATGTGTATTCTCTTGTGTATTATGACCACTGCATTTAACTATCTATTAATTGAAAATTGGAATTCAAAGTATAAATGGAGAGAATTATTTTGTGATCGATTTGAATACTTCTTACTGTCAAATAACAAATTTTAATGACTGATTTTGGTTTTGTGTTTTAAAGAATCTAACATTTATAAGTCTATAGAAACTTACAAAAATAATTCCTGTCTTCATTTTGAATCAACTTGAAAATGATAGCCTAAGATTATAACTCACACTAGCTAAAAAGACAGAATTCCCCACTAAGATTAAATAGGAACATAAGGCAGTATGCCTCATACACCTCCTTTTAGACTTAATAATCCTGTATAGAACTCTTGTTTTTATTTCCTTTCAAGTGAGACATCAGACATTTTTAATGTTGTTAAGAAATATCAAATGTCTGTGTAAGCCACACAAATAATTTCTGCAGTTCTGACCGTGTGTGTTTTGTAAAGAATGTTATCCCTAACAACACCAATGATGTATTAATAGTGATGAAAACAATTTATGTCAATATATAAACCATAAATAAGTTTATTTCAGTGAAAATGATTTTAGTGAAAAAGTAAATGAAGCTGAATGTGGCTGACATCCAAAAAAAGAAATTAACTAAATGAGCTTATAAAATGATGACATCATCATATAATAATGATGAAAAAAGTATGTTTCTGTGAATGATCAGTTGTGTAGTTTTCACACAATGTGTTGCAAAGAAAATTTAGCTGCAATATAGACCAACACAAACCTCTTAAATAAGATTTCATTGTCCAAAAGTCTGTAAAAAAAAGGTACAATAAAAGTCAGGAATTGATAATCAAAATAAGAGAATCCCCTTACTTCTGTAAATGGCTATATACTCATTAGAAAATTATAATAATATACCGGGGTAATCAATTATTGTTGTTACCAGACTAGTTATTCAATATCACAATTCAAAACTTTTCCAATACATTGCAAGGTTTTTTGTTATACTTAGACAACTGGAGACTCCTAGGAGTTGTAATTGATCAAGAGTTGATAATTCATAAGGACCTAATGACAATTTCTGGATTCTTGTTCCAATATCACAGCATTCAAATATTTATGCCATAATAATTCATAATTCAACATCCTTTAATTTAAGGAAATAGATTACTAATTAATTATATTTCTAATTAAATAACTAAATGAGATAACACAAACCTCGAAGTAATTCTTCCCCTTCTTTATCTAGCTCTGGACCCTGGAAAATACTTTCACTAATTCTTTGTGATAAATCAAGACCCTCATCTGTTACATTAGACAATATACTGGTTTCCTGTAAACTGTCTCCATCCCCTTCTGCTCCTCCTGTAGACAAGTACACATATTAAGCAAGTATGAAAAATTACTATTTAAAGCCCACAACTTTTTTTGGTTCATGTGAGTATGATGATAGACTCAGACTAACTGTATTTAAGTGGGTACATACAGTATATCTTTCAAATTAATACTTCTATGTACAATGATGTATGCACAAGTTTAACATGTATTTTAAAATGACATTTGAAGTTCAAATTTGTGCATTCATTTCAAGTATGTTCTCATGTGAAATTATGTACAATAGTAGCATCTATATTAGGTTATATAATAGATGCCATCTCATGAACTTAGATTGGCATTATCATAAAGAATCAAATTTTAAATTTTAAACACATGAAATCGATTAAGTAGACCCCAAGAATGAAAAGTGTGAATGCATTTTCTGTTACAGGTAATGTGTAATGTTTTTGAACATGAAATCTTTTATCAATGTATGTACTATCATCTTGAGGCTGGAAAAAAACTTTATTATTCAGATAGTTCTTAACAAAAATATTCAATATAGATTTACCTTCAGCACCCAATGGAGGTGACCTCTGCTGGTCTCTAGGTGGCGATCTCCCTTTACTCCCTGTTGATTTATCTCCCTCTGTAACCATCTTGACCAGTTTTTTGTTAATACTATCTTCTACATTGAGATAAGTTTTCACTGAGTCTGACAATAACTGCAACAGTTGTTCATTTGTTCTCTGTACAGATTCTCTGTAATAGTATGGTGTAAACTATAAGTCAATACATTTAAGCATGAACAAGAGGCTTTCAAAATGACAGCAAACCAAATTTTCCATACATTTACTGGAGTCATTGTAAAAAGCAATCAAGGACCATAAGTCTTGACCAGCATGAGTGGGAATTGTCAAAATCAAAACGGGTTAGTGAAGCCCAAGTCAACTGATTTTTACAGTTCATATTTATGCTGTGTTGTTAGACCAGTGTCCACAGTTAGGAGGAGGGTTTGAGCAGTCACAACCATGTTTAATCCCCTACCTCCATTTTTTTATATGCTTGTCCAAAACCAGTGCCTGTTATCCAGAAGTTGTTGATGGTTACTGTGGGCCATATTGTTTTTCTTTCATTCTTGAACTTTTAGTTTAAAACAGGCTGCTGGTTTTTTCTTTTGAATTGTTTTACCTTTTGTCATCCCAAGTCCTTAAAGCTTACTATAAGATTTGGGTTTTGCTCATTGTTGAAGCCATACAGTTTTCTAATTGTACACATCTTTGTCTTTTAGTCTTTTATGGATAGTTGTATATTTGTTCTTATTTTAATATTGACCTCCTTTTTGCCGTCAGAAACAACAATAAAAATCTGAAAAGAATTGGTTGAACAGTTTTCAACTTCTAGCATGGAAACAACATACCATGTGCCATTTTAAAATCAATCACAACCATAACTCCTGAACAGCAAAGTGAAAATCATAAATATCAAACTAGCCACCATTTGTCATGACAAATATATTGTAACATATCCATATTCCAAAGAATTGTTCAGCAGTTTTCAAGAAATGGCACAGAAACAACATAAAGCAACATTTTTCAATCAAACAAGGGCCATAAATCCTGAACACTGAAAGTCATGAAAATAGAACTTGATCTGCAGCTGAACATATTCAAATTTGCAAAGGGTTGTTCCTTCATCAGTTTTCAAGTTATTGCACAAAAACATCCAAAAGCTGCATTTTTCAATTAATCAAGAAACACAACTCCTGAAAGGCAAAACTGAAAACTATCAAATTCCAAATTGACCGGCATTTTATCATGAGAAACAAATTTCATAAATTTGAAAATACTTCTATATTTATCCCACAGAATTGGTTTTGAGCCACTCACCCTCCAGTTAATAACCAGATGTTTTTGTGAGAGATGGAAGTTCATCGTTATTTACTTATGTACCAAAAATTAAATCAATATCTGGAGGCATAACAAATAAGTTTGGACAACTATTTGATTTCTGAATGACAGGACAGACATGGGTAGATATCCACTTAATGGAGCCGGCCATAAAAAAAAAAAAACACCCTAAAACACACACACTGACAATGTGAATTATAATTTTAGAGCTTACCTCTATCATTGTTAACTCTCTCCAGGTCAAATTTTAGCATTATTTCTAGATTTAGAGCTTACCTATCATTGTAATTCTCTCCAGGTCAGATTTCAGCTTTAAAGCTTACCTATCATTGTAAATTCTCTCCAGGTCAGATTTCAGCTTTAGAGCTTACCTATCAGTGTTAACTCTCTCCAGGTCAGATTTCAGTTTTAGAGCTTACCTATCAGTGTTAACTCTCTCCAGGTCAGATTTCAGCTTTAGAGCTTACCTATCAGTGTTAACTCTCTCCAGGTCAGATTTCAGCTTTAGAGCTTACCTATCAGTGTTAACTCTCTCCAGGTCAAATATCAGCATTAGTTCTAGATTGTAGAGCTTACCTATCAGTGTTAACTCTCTCCAGGTCAGATTTCAGCTTTAGAGCTTACCTATCAGTGTTAACTCTCTCCAGGTCAGATTTCAGCTTTAGAGCTTACCTATCAGTGTTAACTCTCTCCAGGTCAAATATCAGCATTAGTTCTAGATTGTAGAGCTTACCTATCAGTGTTAACTCTCTCCAGGTCAGATTTCAGCATTAGTTCTAGATTTTGATCTTCCTGTGATTCTTTCTCTCTTCTCATTAGAATCAGTCGTTCCTCCTCGATCTGGTCCTGTAATCTTTGTTGTAGTTTCTTAATTTCATCTTCTAGCTGTAAAACCAAAACAAAGAAAATTAATTAGTTTGAATTAATGAGTGACAAATATTTAGATGCTTATTCAGCAATTCCATTTTGACACATTTGGGTAGTGTTGTTTTACTGGTGGTCTTGCTACTTATAAGACAAACTGATATTCAAATTAATTGTAAGTCATTTTTAATTAACAAGTTTTCAAAATTTTTAAATTGATATTTACAAATTTATTTTACAATATTCATCAGTTTTTGAAACTTTTCTACAATATATATTTTTTTCCCCATTGGATAGGTCAGGCAATGGTTATATACTTAACTTTCACCATATGTTTAACTTACGTCTTTGATTTTGCTATCCTTTTGCTTGACAACCTCAGCAGCAACGGGAAGTTCACCTGATTCATAGGTAGAAACTGGTTTTAAATTGGCAAGAGTGTCAGCCAAAGCCCTTGTTTGCATCAAATCTTCTGGAGTAGATCTTCCACTCCCAGAATCCTCTCTATCTTGTAAGCTACCACTTCTGTCATAGTCTTCATCTTCCTCCTCAAAATCAGGTTTAAAATCAAGTCCAGCATTAAAGTCAAATGTAGAAGCTGAGAGTTGTCTAGGTGGAGCTGAATCAGGAAGGATAGGTTCCTCTGATATCTCAGAACCCATGTCTTCTTCTTGATTTTCTTCCTTTGATTTGTCAAACTGGATCAATGGTTCTTCATCAGTTTCATCAGGGATTTCCTGCAAAAATAAGTGTGATATATTTAAAATCCCCTAAATTACATATCTGATTTCAGACCATAAAAAACACTCTTGATAGTGCAAATCAGGGGTAGATCCAGCCATGGAGCACATTCAATAATCTAAGGTAAATATTGCATTTGCTTTGCAGAGGGAACTTTTAATTAAACATTCATCGTCATTGCATTGTATTAAGCACATACTTGTAGATTATGAACAAAGGAAGATAACTCCAATTTTGAATATCACTTTAACAATGATCAGAAAAGATACAAAATTCATTCACTAAGGACAATTTATGTAATTTTTTGGACAAGTATGGTTACACACATACATATCATTTTGTAATATGAATATCTGAGTATATATTTCATTAAGTAATTTCGTGAAATGTTCATGGATAAGATGTAAAGAATGATATGCTCAATGTACTTTCTTCTTTTTTTTTTAAAAGTAGTGATAAAAGTGGGAATAATGATAACTATTAAGCCATCAATATAAGGGTTTTGATTGCAAGACTGCAATAATTACAAAAAAAAAAAAAAAAAAAAAAAAACAGCTGTCAAAGAGTGCCTTATTTCAACCATAGTCTATGTCTACACAAGTTTCAAAAATATTTGTCAAATAAAACTTTAGTGATCTTGAATTGTGTTTCAGCAAATAAACAAATGAACTAATTAATGGAAGGGCAGACTTCTTGACAGACAACAGTATATGATAAATATGTCCTTTTCTGACTTGCGTATAAAAATAAGTTCCATATTTGGCATGTTTTAAACTGACTTTAGAAAGATACCATGCCTTTCACATAAATTTCTGTTTTAGCTCGGGGGGGAAACGTGGCTGAGGCTAAACAATGTCAAACTGGCTGAAGTATTTGGTCAATCAAAATATTCTATTTTAAAGGGAAATGGGAAGAACAGTCAAAGGTTAAGGGGACCAGGAAAGCCAAAAAAAAAAAAGGTAACAGAATGAGAAGAAAAATGTCAATTAGAAAATAAAAAAATATCTTAAAATAAGCATTCATCCTTCTGATTCTAATGCATTTTGTACTAGGTTCATATTTAACTGTTATGTAGTACTAATTATTAGACAAAAAGGGGATGTGGGTTGAATAAACATAAGACAAAATATAATGAAATAACCAAAATGTCAAAGGTTTTATTGCTTTCTTCATCCTCATTGTTACTAGAAATTTTTCAAGCAAGATCAAAACAGCCCTTAGTTGCATCTAAAATTTAAGATTCTTTATCATTTCTTATGGCAAAAACAAGAGTTTCCTACAATCATTCAATTCTTCATTTCTTTTTAACAATTAGAAAATTTTGAATTGAGATATAAAGGAAACCCAAACCAAAGAATGGATTTTTTCTTTGTCCCATAAACCTTGTGTCAAAAATACTTTGTATTATGTTTACCTTTTTATCCCTTGGACTGATCTGTTGAGGTCTTCTGACCTTCTGGGTGACTTCTACTCTCTCTATAGAAGATTCCATGTCATCTCGAGGGGTACTCCTAGATGGAACATAACGTCCACTGTCTTCTGGTACTATCTCCTCTTCTAAACTTTCCAACTGTAATAGAAAAAGTGTTGGGTTTTTTTTTAAGAATTTAAAACAATTCTGATTGGAAAAGAGATCTGGGATTCTACAATCACTACTGATTAAACAGATTGGCAGAATGTGCAAGTTTTTCTCTGTACAAAAGCGGCAGCAAAAGACTAAAAATCTAAAGCTGAATGCTAAATGTTTATCTAAAGCATGTTGTTGATCTCTTATCAACTCAATAAACAAATCTGCTTTAACGAGTAAGGACAATAATTTCCTTTTACCTTAAATGAAAATTTCTGATAATTTCATAAAAATTGTCAGTAAAATTAGGAATCTTACCATATAAGTAAGATGTGTTCATCCTGCCACAGTCAGATTAAACAGATGTTACTTCAGATCAATATAGTTTTAATATGATGATTCATATGTAAAAACATATATTTATTTACCGGTAATCTAAAATTTATCACAGACATAAGTGGACAAATTTCTTCCATTATTTTAAACCAATAGAATGATTTAACTTCAAGCTAAATTCAAAATCTTATAGACTTTAAAAGACAAGTCACATCACTTTATAATTTATTTCTGTAGGTAGTCAACAGGAATATGTCTAATTGAATGATCACCCTAGAAACTTTGTAGTTAAAAGATCAATCTTGCAACAAAACTATAAAACATCATTCTTCTTAAGTGAACAAAACCATGAAAATTTATTAACATTGTCCAATGAACCATGAAAATGAGGTCAATGTCAGATAAATCCTGCCAGCTGTACACCTTAAAATTATTCAATATAGTTGTCCTATTGCTTATAGTATTTGAGAAATAGACTTGACCAAAAAAACTTAACCTTGATCACTGATCCATAAAATATGTTCAGGATAACCCTGTCTGAGAGACATGTAGACTGCAAGGAACCCACATACCAAATATAGTTATCCTATTACTCATAAGTGAGAATTTCACATGACAAAAAAAAGTGGTTTTCAAGCAGTCAAGGAACCATGAAAATTACATCAAGGACAATGGACATATGACAGACAGAAACTTCGTACTAAAAGGTATCTGCATACAAGGTATGAAGCATCCAGGGCTTCTACTTTCTGAAATATAAAGCTTTATACAAATAGTTTATGCCATCACCAGCAGATAGTAATCCCCATTTCTCTAATTTTTGTGCTAATTTCACATTTCTTGAGCGGTGTGAGAAAAATATTTCTCCTCACTAGTGAAATATCTGTTCTCGGCAAATGATTAGTCGAAATTTGATTGTGACGTCAAAATTTCTTGGTTTCTTCTGAATTTTCCTATTGTGACGTCATGAAAAAAGGCGACCATGCCTGATGACGTCGCATATAAATAACACAACTTTCTGAAAATCTTTGAAAAAAGAAGGAAAAAAATCATTAGAGAAACAGATTCCGACACTATAACTCGTGTATTACGATATTTCTCCACTCTCAACAGTTAAATTTTAATTATCTAAAAAGCTCAGCAAGCCTTTAAATAATAAAATTTAACTGTCTCGAGTGGAGAAATATCGTAACACACTTGTTGCAGTGTAGGAATCTATATGTCTCACATTCTGCAACGAAAGATGAGAAAAAAATGGTATGTTTACATTATCCTAGGTTCATTAACAATCTTAACTGTCAGTCCTAATTAATTATATAATGCACTTTTCGGTATATGTAAAAACAACCAACAAAATGCAGTGAAAAATTGACTTTTTTATAAAAGTATCGGGTAAATAACCAGAAAATCTTTAACAAAAAGACAACAGGTTGGTTTAAGTACTTTTCTAAATAGATAGGTATTCAATATTTTATGTGATGGTAATCAATACAGTCAGCTGTTACTAACTAACTACATGCTTCTATACACCAAAACATTATTTAATACAAATCAGTTTTTGAAGAATATTACAACATTTACAAATTACATTGTATCTGATGATTCACAAAGCAAAAACATACACATTAATTTGACAAGAACATACATGTACTTTTAGAGCATTTTTCAGATGTCTATTGTACATGCATTTTTAACTTATGACTGGTATGCATGTACAGTAGCTAAAACTAGAGCTGTCCACATAGAAGGACTGATAGTGCATGCATTTTAGTTCCTGCTGTGAAATTCAGTATTGAGACAATGCATACAAAGCTTTGTCAATCTATGTGCTAGTAGCCTACCATACAAAAATTAAAGAACCTTAGTGAGCACGCTCACATACCCCACGTCCCCACATTGTCATTGGAGAAATTAAATAAGTGTAACAAAAAATAATTATAAAAGAAAAAATATTGAATAATAATTTCCTGTCAATATGCACATCTACATAGTATGTCCTTCTTATCTACAAAATTTTATGAAATTCTGTTGTGTGGTTTCAGAGGAGTTGAGATGACAAACTGTTGAAGTAGTACCTTAAAGCAAATAAGTTCAAAGGGGTGTAACTCCTAGAAAAAATATTGAATCGTAATTTCCTGTCGACATGCACATCTACATAGTATGTCCTTATTATCTTAAAAGGTTTCATGAAATTCTGTTGTGTAGTTTCAGAGGAGTTGCGATGACAAACTGTTGCAGTAGTACATTAAAGTAAATAAGTTCAAAGGGGCGTAACTCCTAGAAAAAAAATTGAATCGTAATTTCCTGTCTATATGCACATCTACATAGTATGTCCTTATTATCTAAAAAGGTTTCATGAAATTCTGTTGTGTGGTTTCAGAGGAGTTGCGATGACAAACTGTTGCAGTAGTACATTGAAGCAAATAAGTTCAAAGGGGCGTAACTCCTAGAAAAAAAATGAATCGTAATTTCCTGTCGATATGCACAACTACATAATATGTCTTTTTTATCTAAAAAGGTTTCGTGAAATTCTGTTGTGTTGTTTGAGAGGAGTTGCGATGACAAGAAACAGGACTGACGGACGGACGGATGGACTGACGGACGGACGGGTCAAAAACATTATACCCTCCGCAACTCGTTGCGTGGGGTATAATTATGCATTAAAAACAAACCAGTCAATGTTTTACCATAGCAGTCAAAGGTCAAAGTCAAGGTCAAAAGAGCTGACTTTAAAACATCACACCCCTCCATCCCATGATGCATCAGCATACCATGTTTGGCCAACCTTAGTTGTACAGTACAAAAGTTATGCGCAGGACCCAAATCAAGGTCAACGTGACCTGACTTTGGTATATGACACACCTTCTGTCCATGATGCAACTGTGTACTAAGTTTGGTTAACCTACTTTTAAATTTTACTGTAAAAAAAAAGTGATGAGCCAGACAGGAATTGGACAAGGATTTTTCTTTAATAGGGGTCAAATGTCAAAGTCAAGGTCCAAAAATATAAATTTATCAGATAACTTTTAAAATAGGATTCAACTTGAAAGACAATTCTGAATGCTTTAATAGGAGTAATAGAGGCTCTTTAGACGCTGTGTTGCTCACCTAGGTATATGTGAGCCAAATACATGTATACCAAAAATAGTTGATTTTTTCTAGAAGTATCTGAGAAATGGACAAATACACAAAAACTTAAAAATGACCAATTAACCATGGAAATTAGATCAAGTTCAGATAAAACCAGCCAGACTGACATGTACACCTTACAATCATTCCATATACCAAATATAGTTGACCTACGGCTTAAAGTATCTGAAAAAAACTAACTTGACCAAAAAACTTAACCTTGATCACTGATCCATGTAATGAGGTCAAGGTAATGTGAACCCTGTCAGACAGACAAGTATACATTGGAAGGATCATCATCCAACCCCATATATAGTTATCCTATTACTCATAATAAGTGAGAAATTCAAATGACTAAAAAACCATCCAGTTTTTTTTTCCAGCAGTTGCTGAACCATGAAAATGAGGTCAATGACATATACAGATGACAGATTGAAATTTTTTAACATATGGCATCTGTATACATTTATACAAGGTACAAACTATCCAAGTCTTCTACTCTCTGAAATGTAAATCTTTATACAAATAGTTATGGCAGGGTTAGTCCAAGTATTAGCATTCCCATGTCTTGCTTTCTGTGACTTTCGTCAACGAGACAAAATTGAGGTAAAGGACAACACTATACATATTTCAGAACCTAAGGAATCTGTATGCAAGGCATTGCATATCCAGCTCTTATCCTTGTTTATAGCAACAATATGTCTTGCATTCTTTCACCTTGTTGCAGTCATAAAAAAAATTGTTGATGCAAAAATAACAAGAAATGATTGTAACAGGATGCTGTTATGAAGTCTCCCAAATAAAGTCCCCTTAGTATAAACCCATAAGGACTCTCCCTACTATATATTCAGATCAAAAGAATTTCCAATTATTTTTTTTAAATTGTATAAATTGGGAAAAAAATCTGTTCAAGGTCAAAGATCAAGGTCATTATTGACCATTGAACTTTTGACCTTAAGTAGGCCATATAACCCATGGTCATTACTAAAAGACTAAAAGACCCCATGTGTCTATCACTAACTGTTTTCAAGTTATAATCATTGAAAATAAACAAATTTAAAAATCCCATAACTCTAGAACAGTAAAAGTGACGCCACCCAAATTTAATCTTGATCTGTATTTTGTGGTAATAAGCATTGTGTACTGTAAATACAGAAATTATTGCGTGCATTTATTATTGCGATTTAGTCATTTTAGACTAAAATGCGATTTTAATTTTTGCGATATTGAGAAAAATCCTGTTTAATTCATATAAAAAATTTCAAAATGCGAGTTGAAATTATTGCGATTATAACCCTGTCGCATTTTTCGCAATAATAAAAACATCGCAATAATTTCTGAATTTACAGTATAAGTTTCATAGCATTTGGTTGTAGCAAACTAAAGTTAGAGAACAGAAACAAAAAAATCAGCAAATTTTCGATTTGTAAATGGGCATAACTCTTGAACGGTTAAAGTGACGCCACCAATATTCAAACTTGATCTGTGTTTTGTGGTAATAAGCATTGTGTATAAGTTTCATAACATTTGGTTGAGGCAAACTAAAGTTAGAGATCGGAAACCAACTTTGGGACGTACGGACAGACGTACGTACAGAGGGAGAAGGGTAAAACTTAATGCCCCCATCGCAATGGCGGGGGCAAAAACAAGTTGAAAAGAATTACGACACAGAGATAAGACAGACAGTTTTGACTACGATACCGCTAGAAAAATAAAGGGCATATTTGAACATTTCAGAAATTTCTTAATTACAACAAGTCACCTATGAACCCTTCACAAATTAATTTTGCAGGGGTTCTTTAGCAGGTATAAAATAACTTAAGGAACTCTCTCAACAAAGCTTTTGATTTAACTAACATCTAATTCCAGTAAAAAAAAAAGATCCTCTGACTTGAGTCATTAAAGCAAAAAACATAAAACTTCAGTAACTTAACTTTTATGCTACAGATATATTGATGAATAAAATATTATTGCATCACAAACAGGCCCGGATCCAGAATTTGATATTTTGGGGAGGGGGCTCCTAAGAATTAGTAAAGGACCATATTTTGACAAAAAATTAGCTGTAATTTACCTATAAATTACATATTTGTTCATTTTAAGGGAGAGGGGCATCTGAATCCATGCCTGATAAAAACAGTATCAAACTGCAAAATGCTAATAAATGTTATACTATAAAGCTACACTCAGGTTAAAAAAAAAAATATCTGATATAGATCCTCAAAGTTTCCCCTGACAAAAATTGGTCTGAGAATTAACTACTTTTGGCAGGATGCTATTATACATCACTATGCCCATAAGTATATTATATAAAGATAAATTACTGAGGATTCTACTAACATTGCCATAACCCCTAACATCTTTGAACACAAACACAGTTCAAAGCAAAACAAAGTAAATAAATGCTGAAGACATTTGAAATCGAGTTAAGAATTTGTAATGTTGACACAACACATTGATTAAAGGGGCATTAGCTGTCAAATTCATGTTCACCGATTTGACTCAAATTCTTATATTCGACTTATAACATACTAAAACGCATAGCCAGATTATAAAAAGTCTAAAATTACTAATTTATGATGCATAGACTCAAAAGTATGTTTCAGCATTTCATGTGTTTTAGTCTAGACGCCATCTAATGAACCATTGAGGTGACCTCAGAAGACTGCCAACTGTCATATAACCCGATATAAACATAAACATAGATATAAATAGATTGCGAACTCGTGCAATTGGATTTTTCTAGATCTGTTTGATTTCATATTATAGGTTAAAAAAATATTCTATACAAAGCACAAAAATGTCTCCATTCACCTCAAAAGCTAACCAAACCTTTAAACAGACTTATTCAGAAGGGATATAGTTACGATACTGTTGTCAGGTCATTAAAGATGGCATATTTTGGTATTAATATTGATTCACTCGTAGGGTCTTTGCATCGGAAATAAACACATTTATTCTAAAACCAGTTTTTGGCATAATACGGGTTATCATCTTTTCATGATGGTATGATACTAAACCCCTAATGGGATGGATTGTGCTTGATTTTCATATGATGAAGACATACTCTTTCAATCAGTTTAATTGAGGTCTGGAGCTGGCATGTCAGTAACTGCTAGTAGTCCTTTGTTAATTTATGTATTATTGTCATTTAGCTTAGTTTCTTCTTTTACCTATTGTGACATCGGACTTAGACTTCTTTTAAACTGAGATTTACTGTGCGTATTGCTGTGTGTTTGTTTATTCTACATTGGCTAGAGGTATAGGGGGGGGGGGGGGGGGGGGGGGTTGAGATTTCACATGTTTAACCCCGCCGCATTTTTGCGCCTGTCCCAAGTCAGGAGCCTCTGGCCTTTGTTATTCTTGTATGTTTTTTTAATTTTAAGTTCATTTATATGTTTCGGAGTTTAGTGTGACATCCATTTTCACTGAACTAGTACACATTTTTGTTTAGGGGCCAGCTGAAGCCCGCCTCTGGGTGTGGGATTTTCTCGCTGTGTTGAAGACCCATTGGTGGCCTTGGGCTGTTTTCTGCTCTTTGGTCGGGTTGTTGTCTCTTTGACACATTCCCCATTTCCATTCTCAATTTTATTTAATAATCGTTTTTACCTGTACAAGAATGATTTTTTCTAGATTGAATCAGTCAACCAAATGGTTTACCCTTGTTTCATTTCCAATGTTTACATTCTTTTCCATTTAATAACTAAACATGCCTAGTTTATGCGTAACCCATCTCTAGCTATAGGGATCATATTAAAGTTCACATGAATAAGGATTCAATGAGGTCGAATTATTCACTTGATGTTTCTTTGCTTAATTTGACAAAACTGAAACAAACTGGGTGTTAGGAGCGAATAATATTTCACTATCATTAATGATTGAACAAAAAAAAAATCATATTTTATTTTTTTTATATCTCGTAGCTAATGCCCCTTTAAGAGAATGCACAGTAGGAATTATAACTTTAACTTAAAATTTTACATTTTATATCTGAATTAAATTAACTTAGGTAACATTAATAATATTTTTGTTGAAAAAGGATAACTTAAAAGAACCCTTACTCTTCCTTACATGTTAATGCCCTCTTCTCTATCAGAAGGCGCTTTTCAAACAATCTGTATTGTAAATCAATGAGGCTTTAAAATTTGGCTAAAGAGCCAAAAAGGTGAATCAAGTGACCTCTGCCTTGTAGTACCTGTCAGTATTATAAAAGCACATCAAATTGTATGGATTATATCCATCAGTTTCAAAGCTCATGCAGTGAAAGCTTAAGACACTCCAACAGCACCTTAAAGTTTGTTGAGGTACATATATTATAATATTTGATAATGGTCAAGACATTAATAAATTTTGTTACATATTTACCATAGGAACCGTTTGAGCAGGAGATATGAGCTGCCCTTGAATGGTATCTTCTGAACTGGAAGAATGCTGTAAAAACTCCAAAATTTTCTTTAAGTTTCCAATCTCTTTCTGTAACAAAGAAGTAAAGATTTGATATAATTATCTTTTATATTCAATTTACTTTTTAATAAGTCATGACTAGCTGATTTTTATAACTTTCAAACATCTATGGATTCTTAATCTTTTATTCTGTAAAATATATTTAAAATAGTGATTTTCTAACTCTTAAAAAAACACCTCCAAAGCGTCTCAATCAAATTAGACAATATGATTGACCAGAGTTTAAGTACAATAGAAACAATATCTGATAAGTTAATTGGAATGTTTTGTCTACATATGAACAGAATTTATCTTTTTATGTCGATACTGTGGATTCATTAATTTTCGTGGTTTTGCCAATGTCGGTACACAACCTGATAGAAATTTGTATTTTGCTGAATATTTAAATTCGTGGTTCACCTGTACCAACGAAACACACGAAAATAAGTATCTAACGAATAATAATGAATCCACAGTATTCAACATCTATGATACAATATGACTCTAATACTTTTAATCTAAAGCATTCAATTGTCTTGAATGTGAAACATATTGATATACAAATTTTAAACCAAATAACTCTTCCACAGAAAAAAAATTCCAAATAAGTGAACCAAGGTATAAAAGAATAAGGTTGAATAAGATGTTAATAAGTTTTAATATGAAGGACTAGATTTACAGAATTACAATTAAAGGGAGATAATACCTTATATTTGTCTTCCATCTCTTCTATCCTAGACTGGTGCTGTGTCTGTATATTGTGTATTTCCTTTTGATGTTTCTCCGACATTTGTTGTTCTAAGGCCATTAAATCCTGCTTATGTTGTTCAGCACTCTTTCTTGATGTTACAGTATCTACACTACCACCATCTAAATCATCAGAATGAGTGGAGTGGGTACTTGCTATTTCTATAATTAAAGAAAAATATATATACATAGAAATGTGTCATCAGAATATGTAATATAGGTACCTGTTCCTGGTATCAGCTAATCATGAAAAAAGGTTGAAATGTTTGTTGCCATTAACAATTTTGTTATAATTTAGTACAGTGTATATCATAAATTATAGATCAATTCCTTGACAATTTAGTTCTAACCACCTTAAATGATTGTTAGTCTGTTTGATAAATACTTGAAAGATAGAATACACAGATACATATAAAGGCTGCAACCAAGGTTGTATTCAAGGTGATGAAATACTAAATAAATTGTTGACACAGGGATATGTCTCGCCTTTTGTAATTTTGATAGTATAATGCAAATGTTGAAATTAAAATGGCAATATTTAAACATGTAAACTATGCAAATCATTCAAAGTCAATGAACCATGACTGAAGGTGCTGAGGCAAATTACCTCCATGGAAATTAGAAATGCCAATGCTTATAAAACTGCATACCAAATACCATTGACTTGTCATAACTCGTTTCCTTTCAACAAAACACAATCTTTAACTTGTAAACTATGTAAAAGTTTCAAAGTTGATGAACTATGATGAGGGGGTCATATAATCTCCATGGAAATGACACTTGCAAATTCCAATACATCTGCATACCAAATATCATTGATTTAACATAAGGGTCCATCTTAAACTGTTCTAATCACAAACTCTATCATGTAAACAGTACTAAACTATGCAAAACAATTAAAGTCAATAGACCATGACTGAGCGGGCAGGGCTATAGTAATAACATGAGATGTGCAAATGCTAATAAATCTGCATACAAAATATCACTGACCTACCACTGATGATTCTCCTTAAACTTACCTAATCAAAAACTAATACATGTAAACTAAGCAAAAGTTTCAAAGTCAATAGACCATGACTGACAGGGCAGGGCCTAATAATCTCCCTGGAAATGAAATGTGCCAATGCTAATACAACTGCATACCAAATATCATTGACCTACCACTAGTGGTTCCCCATAAACTGACCTAATCACAAACAAATATATTGTTGACACTGCCGCCACCAGAAACAGCACGCCTTTGTCTCACTTTTTGGACTCTGTGGACCCTTGACAAAAATCTTTGTGTTTTATACACAATATTTCATCAAAATGTAATTCTTTTTTTCCTGGAGACAAAACTTATTCATTATGAGTATATGCATATGGTCATTCTCAAAATGTTTCCACCTATTCCAAATCTTAGTGAAAACATTGGATTGTCAAGTCATTTTTCATACAATGGTAATATTTATAAGACATATATGAAAATAGTTTGCATTACCTTCTTTGATGCGTTTAAGTTTTTCTTCATATTCTGCCTCTATCCTGGCTATAATTGCTGTATGGGTGTCTCTTAAGTCTTCTATAGAGTTATCCTTCTCTTCACTTGACCTACGACGGGCTACTTCAGGGTCTGATGGTAAATCTGGTTCCCTGGTTTGCTCTTCTTTCTCAAGCTCTTGGTCTGATGGTAAATCTTGTTCCCTGGTTTGCTCTTCTTTCTCAAGTTCTTGGTCCGTCTTCTCTGTTGATTCTTCAGATTTAATAGCTGGTATATCATCTGGTTTAAAGGCAATCTTGGTCAATTCTTCCTTCAATTTTGAGATTTCTATTTCTTGATTTTGTTCCAGTTCAGAAATTCTAGCATCATATTCATCAATAAGAGTCTTTCTACATTCTGAAATATCTTTTTCATGTTGCATTCTGAGTTCTTCTGCCTCTGCCTGACGTTCAGCTGTAACCTTATCCATTAATTCTTGATGCTGTTCCATAAATCTGGCCTTTAAAGAAATTATCATATAAAATAGCATATACATTTAAGCAGATATTTTAAGTTGTCATACATGTAAACCTCTGACAGTGAGAAAAATATCTGTTATAGTGCAAGCACGGAGAACATTTTGTTGAATTACTTCAAGGTTGATTTATTTACAATATATGCAATGAAATACTAGTTGAAGCTAAAAGGTGTTAAAACTCATGCATGTATAGTATCACTTTCATGGAAACAATGGTAAATTATAATAAAGTGCATAAAAGGGCTTAATTTTTAGTTTTAGAAAATATTAACTATTACCAATATATTCTTTGGTTGTATTTCTACTTTTAGTAGATTTAGAAACTTTCAAACTAGTCTATGACACTTTTTCTTAGGTAATGTATAGATTTGACATTTCCTAGTGTATGATGATAATAAACTTCTAGATTATTCTTATTGTTTAAAAAATACTCTTTTATCAAATATTTAAACCAAAAGAAGAGAAAACTTTTCAATGATAATTTCTTTGTATATTAATGACAATGATCTTGCCAGTTTACCTGTTCAGACTCTATGGTTTCATCAAATTCCTGTTGCATAAGTGTTTTAGCCATTTCTAACTCTGTATCATACCGTTCATGTATAATATCAGCTACCTCAGGAGCCTCGCCACTTTTTATACCTGTAATCAGACAATATTGTCTATAAGTCATACTCTATTTTAGCCATTTCAGTTTTCACATATATAAATAGTCATGCTCTTTGTTAGCCATTTCAGCTTTTACATATATAAATAGTCATACTTTTTGTTAGCCATTTCAGTTTTCTCATATATAAATAGTCATACACTTTATTAACCATTACAGTTTTTAGTTTGTGTACCTTGGTATATGGTTTATATACAGTCAAAGTGATGGCTTTATCTTTTAAGTAATTGAATGAGTGTTGCTTCATTATAAAATATGAAAAAATCAACTTTTTTTGACAATGTGGAAAGGGAGATAACTCTACTTGTTTTCAATACCTAGATTTGTGTTTACTTGGTTTGGCAACATTCATGGCATTGGAAAGGGTAAACCATTTGTTTTCCTCAGCTGAAAGATTCAAAAATAATGCATAAACCAAAAATAACTTACGATCAATAAGAGTCTCATATTTTTCATCTGCTTCATTTAAGTCCAATTCATGTTGTTTTTTCAGTTCCTCCTTCTCACTGTCAAATGTTTCTACTAACTCTTGTCTTAGTAATTCCATTTTTTCATCATATTCCTTGTGAAGTTTGGACACATTATCCTCATGTTCCTTTATTAATTCTCGTTTGAGCCGATTTTGTTTTTCAATTTCTTCCTTAGAAGCTGTTCTGTGTTCTTCCAATTCTTTGATTTGTTTGTCATAATCCTCAATAATTTGATCCTTTTCATCTTTGAAATTTTCCTCCTGTTTAGAATTTTTCTCAATTGCCTCTTTTAGTTTTTCATTTAGCTGATTTATTTCTGTATGATATTCCTCCTGAAGTTGTTTAACAGTTTCCTCCTTAGCCCTTCCAATCTCTTGCATGAGAACAGCAACAGTATTATCATGAGTTTTACCAGCAGGTAGTAAACCCTTCTCGCTGGAATCACTAGATGAAGCACTGAAAGTGGAAGCAGTTTGTGTGAAGTCTCGTGATGATGCAGTTTGATCAAAATCTTGAGATGAATCAATCATGTCAAAGTCTTGTGATTGGTCAGTCTGTAACAATGATTCAGATAATGTATTGTCTTTGGTATCTTTGTCGTCCTCCAAACTGTCACCATCAGCCTCCGTTTTATCAGTTTCCCCTAAAGATTTCTTCCTCTCCTTGACAGTATCCTCCTCTGATTTAGATACCTCTATGACCGTCTCCTGAGACTGAGTATCACTATCCCGACTCACTAAAGATTCTTCGTCTTCCATTACAGCAGCTTTTTCTTCTGCAGGGGAAAATGCCTTTTCAATCTTATCTTCAATGACTTCTTGTATAACTTCCTCAATAACTTGGTCCTTTGTTTTGGTGTCATTTGATTTTTCTGGGTCTTTTGTCATTTCAGATTGTATTTGGTATTTCAAATCATCTATTTTCTGTTCATAATCTTCTTTTAATTTTCTAATATCTTTTTCATGGCCTGCAGTTATGTCTGCAGCTTGCCGTTTCAATTCAACCTCCATTTGAACTTTGAATTCTGTTTGAATAGTTACAAGTTCAACTTGACTCTCATGTTCTAGGTCTTGACATAGAGATTCATTCTTCTCTCTTTGTTGATGCTGTAACTCTTCAATTTGTTCTTGATGGACATTTTCAAGTTCCTGTTTGAGTGTTTCATGATCCTCTTTCTGTTTTTCAGATAAAGAATCAAGTTCTTCTTTATGTTTTTCTCTCAATGTTTCCATTTCTTTCTCATGAGTAAGTTTCATTTCACTGATAACTTCTTCATTGTCATGTTCTGATCTTTCCTGTAAATTTTTCATGGCTGCCTTTTGTTGTTGTTGTAATTCATCGTATTGCTCTTCCAGCATTCTCTCCTGTTCTTGAGAAGCTTCAAGGTCAGCTTTTAACTTGGAAACTTCAGCTTGAGATGACTTCAGATCTGTAAATACTTTTTCAAACTTTTCACTTATTTCATTAACAATTTTGGCATGTTTGTTTTCACACTCCTCCAATTCACGTAAACACTTTTCACCAAGTGCTTGTTTTTGCTTCATTAATGATTCTATTTTACAATCTTTATCACTCATTAATGAATTTACATCATCCAGTTCACTTTGGGTTACCCGTAATTTATTTTCAAGTTCCTGAATTTTATCTGAATTTTCAGTCAATTTAAATTGCATTTCTTGATTTTCAATTTTTTCTTGAGAAATCTTGAGTTGGAGGTCTGATATTTCATCTTCTTTTTTAGCCAACAATGTTTTAAGTTCCTGTAAGGTTTTATTATTAGTATCATCTTCAAACTGAAGTGAATCATCAGAAATGACAGTCAAATTATATGCTGATTTCAAGTAATCTCTTTCTGTCTCTTGTTCATCTGGAACACCACTTGATGTCACTGCATCACTCCCAGAATCCCTCTTTGGAGAAGTAACATCCTGCTGGTTTCCTTTAAATTTTTCTATTTCCTCTTTGTATTGAAGAATTTCTTCCTGATGGAACTTTTCAAGAGAACTGATTTTATTTTCATACTGTTTCTTGAGACTCGAAAGATCTGTAAATAAATTGGAAATATGATTGATAAATATATTAACCCTGCTGAAAAATTCAGTTTGTTTACTCCCAACATTTAATATTGATGTAACTAGTAATGTATCACCAACCCAGTATTTAAACAAGTGTCCATCCACCCACCCAACCATGCAGTCAGGTCTTTAATCCTGACATGATCACAAATATTCTGAGAATTTCAACTTAAAAGTTCCAACTTGATAAGGATAGCTGATCTTTTCTAGTTTTAAATAAAAGGTGCTTTAATATTAAAAGTGTGACCCCTTTATTGGTTGCTATGAAGTCTTCATATTTAGTTTTGAGAATTTTTTGGGATAATATTTAACCAATTCACCAATTGACATGATTTATTACATACATGTTCATTGATTCCCACTTGACAATCTTAATTTGTACAAATTTATCAACTGCCTAAGTTAAGGATAACTGTATTATATCGCTCCTTATGTTTTCAAATATCTTTTTAGTTTCCATAAAGTTGTCTACAAACGATTCTGAAAAAAGTGAATCCAGAAACATGCTTCAAACAGATTTGGTCTGTTTGATTATAGTTCACTCATTCATTGTTTAGATATGATTTTCAGGCATGCACTGGACCTCTTTCTTATTTCTCTTTTTAAATATACTCAAACTTTAATCAACTTAGAGAATAAGTGGTCAACAAGCAGCAAGGTCTCATTCATAAATGTCAGCAAAGGTCCTTGTTTGGGAATATATGATTATAGAGAAAACTTATTACAAGTACATTCACATATATCTCAAAATGTAGTAAAAAATTCCGAAAGTAAAAAAATAAGATCTTCAATATCTTAACAAGGAAATTTTAAATACAAATTGACAACAAGCAATAGTGTAATATTTTTGATGAATGAATGGACAAATAAATGGAAGGATTGACATGTAGTGAAAACTATTAAGCTTGCACACCTTTGACATGTAACCCTAATGATAAAATGCTCTCCATAAAATAACACTACATAAAATTTCTACATAATATAGTACTGTCATGTCCTTTTTCCTTTTTATTTACTTAAATCCAAAATTATCTTTACAATTCAGCAAGACTTATAGTATGTTTCTCATAAAGCAGGTATGCATGAAAAATCTTAAATGAGTTTCAATTTAAATTATAATGGCATGAAAGTTGCACTTCTGTGTGTTAATATGATTACACCACTTTATAGAAGAAAACACATGAATTTATCAATTGAAAAATGCAAAGCTCATTTATATTTTAAACATATCAATTTGATATTATTAAATGATGCATGGATTGGTAGGTAAGTACTTATTTATGTCTTCTTTTTCTACTGTTAAATGTCATATTTTTCCATCAGTTATTATGTTCCAAATTCATTTTAAATTTCTTTAAAGTTAATGTACAGTTAACATAATATCAGCCATTTTAAAACCTCATCTATTAATGTTTTTTTTTGTAAACATTCTTTTCATTTGATCATATTTGAAGCAGTTCTCTTAACCTTTTGTGAAGTAATATTATTTTGGAGAAGTTGGATGATTGCTAATGAGTAAACTATCACCTAAGACCAAAAAAGACTGATTAAGACAATAATGTGCATTTGTACACATCTGCATGTTAAATGTCAAACCCATCCTTCTTGAAAACCAGTCCAAATTTCATACCCTAATATAGATCCACCAAATTTTTATAACTTATCTAAAAGATTTACTGTTTAACCTTAAATATGCATGGAACATTTGCCACAGGACATTAGGCAAACAACATTCAGAGAATCCACCAACCCACATTACTATGAAATTTTGTCGAAAAGTTCTTGTAAATTTAAGTAAAATCCATCTGACTGGTATTAACCCTAGTTATGTCTTGTATCATTTTAACATTTGAACCATTTAAAAAATAAAAAGGGTACTCATTTTTTCTGTTCATGGATAGATAAAGTATCGTGTGAGTTGAATGATATTATTTTTAACTTGATGTCCTTCATTTAATAGATCACCTGTGATTTGTGGACCACCAGACTGGAATTTGGCCTTTTGCTTGTTGTAAAGTTTCTGTAACTGTTCCATTTCTTCTTGTAATCTTTCTACTTCCTGTGCTTCATCTGACATACGATCTGTCCGAGCAGCAAGCAATTGTTCATATTCCTGGAGTAAAGATGCACGAAGCAGGTCCAACTCCTCACGCTGGCTTTCCAAGGTCTGTCGTACATCTGAAACACATATAAAACTGTAAATAACAATACCATTCAGTGCTCTGTTATCATTATTTCATGTAATAAATGGTAGAATAATAGACTTAAAACAACAAGTACATTACATCCACATTTCTTACCCCTATTTCAAACTATGTTCTAAATTACCTTGTGTTTCATAGTCAATAACACATCCGTTTAAAATCCACAATTAAATATAAATCCTTTCCATTAGAACACTCTCGAAATATCTGTAAAAACTGCTTTCAAATACTTGTTACATCCTTATCATGTAAATATATAAAATCTAAAACGTATTAACTATTCATTCGCCATTCTCTAGCATTTAGAAAAAATGTATTCCATTCATAAAAAAAACTAAACCATATATTAGTAAATTATGTATATACTGAATTATAATGGAAGAGAAAATATTTTTGGAACTGTGTTAAAACCCTAAATCTTTAATTTAAACATGTCTTATTACTGTTTGTAACAAAATTTGTTTAAGTTATAGATCAAGTTTTGCTGATAAGAAAAATGATTATCAAAATTATAATATTTCAAAAATGTTGCATCTTAAATGTAAATATTCCTCAATTGTTAAAATTATATTTGTACATCCTCTTAAGTAAAAACTTATTTTTTCTTAAATACTGTATATCCAAAGACGAAACGAAACACAAATGAAAAAGTTTAAAACTGGTTTATGAAAAGGAGACTCAGCACATTTTATGATCAGCTTCAAAGGAATTTCACATGTTTTTTATTTTACATATGAATTCTCATCAAAAAGCTCATTTAAAACTTTTACTTTATATAAGGAAACAGAGAATGAATTTTTAAAACATGGTCACACCTGATTGGCAACCATTACTTATATCCTTTACCTACTGCTGGGATTTATTGATCATAATTTAAATACTTTAAACTTATATATTTATTTTTATAGTCTGATCAATGTTTATCAATGAAATTTGTACATAGCTGTCAGTCTCCTGAATGTATAATCTCAGCAATATAAAATCTTTATACAAAGCATTCATTTTATCTCCCAAAGTCTTACACAACTCAACATACAATTAATACCTAGATTTTATTCTTTCCTTCATTTTTTTCACAGAAAGGTTTTTGTTCTTACGAGATAAAAGATTTGTTTAAGCAAGCATCAGGGTTGACAACTTATGACCTTTCAAATAATCTTTAAATGAAGTTTTTATTGTCAACCTGTTTTTCCACTGACTTTCTATACAAGGGGAAGGTGATAACTGTTGTGCACTAAGAACTACTCCCTACTAACTACTGCATCTAAGTGTGGCTTAAATAATACGTCTAGACAGTATATTACATTGTACTATCACTTTCTATATTTCAACTGATGGTGATCATCTCTAATAATGAGTTGGGTCTTAAAAATTAATATATTACTACCTGAACATTAATTTCCAAGAAGCCATCTAATATTAAATTAAATTCATATTCCTTATAAAGGTGTTTTAAGAACATGTAACGATGGCAACATCAAAAATTGATCATACAGATTTCACATTTAATTCTAAATCTTCAAAGAAGTCCATAGGAAATTTACAGCTAGTTTTGTCCTAAATGGGTCATGTATGTAATAGAAATGTAAGCAATGTTGGACTATAAACAAAAAACAAAATAAAAAAATTATAAAAAAACAATTAAAATGACTTGCCTTCAGCTGTCTCAACAATTTTCTCTTTCTCCTCTAACTGTTGGTACTCTTCCTCAGTAACAGGCATGGACCTAATACTTTCTGTGTCTGTATCGTCATCTGTTTGTTGTCCCTGGGACTGTTTTATCTTCCTTGGAGTTCTTATCTTGGGAGATTTTGAAAGTCCATCAGATATTTTCTGTAATTTTAAATAGAACATCAGTAAAATGTTTCTAGTGTAGATAACACAAGCTTCAATATATTGTTCTGAGTAATATCATAATTATTCATAATCAATTTTTTTTCAGGCAAAATTCTTACTTAATCATTGTTAATCTAGAAAAATTAGTAATAAAGTAAATTTCTAGTTGAAAGATGGATGATCTCTACTCATACATAGCTTTATGATATTATACTCCAATGCTTTACCTTACATCCGATAAAAAACCCAACATTTTCATTAAACACTTGACCATTCATACCTACTCTATCAGCAGGTATGTTTATTTAAGGCAATTTTTTTTAAATAAGGGTACTTAAGGGAACGAAAATTGTGGAGAGAGCCACTTAGTATCAGTTTATAGTTTTGACAACAAAAATCAATTTACTAAATAGTTAAAAAGTTCTGATTTTCATTTCATACTTTAAATCTATAGTTATATAAAAATAAGTATAAGTCTAAATAAATAATAGCATTCAAGTGAAAGTGGACGAGAAATACATGAATATCCATATATGGTAAACAAATTGCATTATACAATTTTAAAGAAACTTGAATAATAATCTGAACGAAACTAAGGTATGCAACTGAACAGATATTTCACTTTCTAAAAATTTACAACATTACCTGTAATAGTTTTCCATGTTCTTCAGCCATTTTCTTGATTGTTTTCTGTATTTGTACAGATGTTGAATCCTTGGCACCTTGAACAGACAAACAATTTGTGATGATTTATTGTTAATTTCTGACGTTGTCAGATTGATGTCATACACAAATGAAAACATTAAAATATTGGCACTTTTAGTGTAAACAATTTAACCGTGTGAAAGTGCTAAGTTCTACTTTGTTGACAGTTTAATAGAAAAACAAAGGATATGGGGTATCCATCCATGACACAAAATCAGTACATGCAAAGCAAAAAACACAAAAAGCAAAGGAACAGCGCTTTTATTGCTGTTCTTCATCTCAAAGTCACAGAGAGGCCTTCAATATGGCTGTGGCGGGGGCATAAAAACTGTCAAAAGAAGCAAGTTAACACTGACAACAGATATTCTACAATTTCTACATGGTCTACAGATTTAATAGTAAGTAGTATTATTGTGAATTAAGAAAGGCTTTGCTAAAGGTACACTTAAAAGTTACGACAGGTATTTTTCAAAATATGGATTTACAATAACTAAATTGGGAATCACCATTGAAACTATAACTGCTATCATTTACCAAATAGTTTTCTTTCTAACAGCTTCCTGGTTTTTTTTCCAAAACCAGTTATATACTGTATATAGATTGCATTTTGAAGGAATTTAAAGGAAATGTTTATGTCTTGGATATCAAATTATTAAAAAAATTCAAAGTCAACATTTTAATTTTTTTCTTTTTATTTCTCATGACAGAATAATAAAACAGCTATGAGAAAGTGTTCTACTAAGAAGATACTCTAACCATGAAGTGATCACTATTGTTCTGGTTGCTGTTAAAGCTGATACATATGTTAATCCGTCAATTATACTTCAGAAATTGATAATTTCCTTGTAGCAGAAGCTGTATGCATAGTTAACAAGATGCAGCTTTTGATGTAGTTCAGAGAGTAGATTTATGCTCAAAGCAGCCAACCCATTATTTCATAATGATATGCAGTTAATTTGCTAGCTTGATTATTACACATTTTTAAAACAATAATACCAAGTTTTATATTTAAGATGAAACTACAACATATTTACTATTCTTTTAATTTTTTTAATTTTTAAGTATACATATGATGTTATCCATTGAATACATGATGTTATAAAACTTTTATACCAGTATATAAGTGGGTGTTATCTATTAATATTTGGGAAGATTGCTTTTTTCATACTTCAATTGGCTAAGCTGATTATCTTGCATGCAATGATTTTCTTTTAAAGAAGTGACACTTATGATCTTATTCAGTTTTAAGAAATTGCCGCTTTAAAAACTCAAAATTAACAGTTCTATATTTTCTCTTATCTGTTGGAAAAAATCATACATTTACAAATTGTCTCCTCCATGTTTACTGGGAAAAATATTAATGTTTGCAATACAACATATCCATAGTCATGTCCCTACATATTTATATCTTAACCATACATATTTATTGTCAAACATTTCTATACATGTAGTGATAAAAAGTCCAATCATTGCCTTTTAACCTAATTTTTGCAATTTCTAATTTTACTTCTTCAAGAAATATTGTCTTGTCAATGAGTGGACTATGAAGTATCAGCGTTTATAAGTTTATAACTGACAGATGCAAAGTAATGATAAAGGCTCACTCAGTAACTCTAATATAAACTTTGACTTTACTAAAACCACAACAGCTAGCTGGAAAAAAATAATTGTTCCTACTGCTGAAAATTTATCCACTAAAAGTTCCATGCAATCCTCAAACCAAAAATAGAACAGGAAATGAAACCATTTAAAATAAACCTTAGTTTTCCAAAACTATAAAGCTAACATTTCAGGTTAAAATTTCCCTCATTTGCCAGGACAATTATTTACATGAATGAAGATTGGAGCTTAAAATAATAACTGCATTAGGGGAGTGTAATAATAAGTGTAGCACTGTATATATGTGAAGCATGTTGCATATTAACTCACCATGCGGAACCTCAAATTCAACAGTCTGCACAACTGGTTTAATCAAGCAAAAATAATTAGTCAAGCATAAAAAAACATGCACTAAATCTATTTTGATATAATCAGTAGTAATAAAAATAATTTTCAATATTATTTGACTTTTAAAGTTGTACCATAAGGGATAAGCTTTGGTTTTCCCTTCCCCCAATATAGGGCTATACTAAACTAACCCTAATTCTAAACTTAACCGTAACTCTAACCTATACCTAACCCTAAATCATAGCCCAAACTTAATACAAAACCTAACCATAAGCACAGGGTCTCCAAATCTAAATCATAGGCCTTACCTAAAACAAATCCTTACCTTACCCTAATTGGAACCCTAACTCTGAAGTACATAATCCCTTAAACAACAAGAGTGCACACACTGAAATGTCTCGCCTTCTTTACTAATCATTGATATTATGTTGATAGTCCTAAATATAAAGCTTTATTACAACTGTCACATAAACTTAACATTAACCAAGAAAACTAAACATTGACCAATGAACCATGAAAATGAGGTCAAGGTCAGATGAACCGTGCCAGGCAGACATGTACAGTTAACAATTCTTCCATAAAACAAATATAGTCGACCTATTGATTATAGTTTAAGAAAAACAGACCAAAACACAAAAACTTAACACTGATCAATGAGGTCAAGGTCATATAAAACCTGCGTGACTGACATATAGATCATAAAATATTTCCATACACCAAATATAGTTGACCTATGGCATATAGTATTAGAAAAAAAGACCAAAACTCAAAAACTTAACTTTGACCACTGAACCATGAAAACGAGGTCAAGGTCAGATGACACCTGCCAGCTAGACATGTACACCTTACAATCATTCCATACACCAAATATAGTAGACCTATTGCATACAGTATAAGAAAAACAGACCAAAACACAAAAACTTAACTATAACCACTGAACCATGAAAATGAGGCCAAGGTCAGATGACACCTGCCAGTTGGACATGTACACCTTACAGTCCTTCCATACACTGAATATACTAGACCTATTGCTTATAGTATCTGAGATATGGACTTGACCACCAAAACTTAACCTTGTTCACTGATCCATGAAATGAGGTCGAGGTCAAGTGAAAACTGTCTGACGGGCATGAGGACCTTGCAAGGTACGCACATACCAAATATAGTTATCCTACTACTTATAATAAGAGAGAATTTAACATTACAAAAAATGTTAACTTTTTTTTCAAGTAGTCACTGAACCATGAAAATGAGGTCAAGGACATTGGACATGTGACTGACGGAAACTTCGTAACATGAGGCATCCATATACAAAGTATGAAGCATCCAGGTCTTCCACCTTCTGAAATATAAAGCTTTTAAGAAGTTTGCTAACGCCGCCGTCGCCGTAGCCACCGCCGCCGCCGCCGCCGGATCACTATCCCTATATCGAGCTTTCTGCGACCAAAAGTCGCAGGCTCGACAAAAATGAAGGCTGTTATCAGTAAAACATCATGAGTCGTTATATATAGAATTTGAAATTGTAACAAAACCTCAATTTCTGGCAAGTGGTAGAGCAAAAATACTTTAGATTCCTCAGAAAAAGATACTCCAATAGCCCTTTAAAGGCAGTAAACAAATAGAAACTGAGGTTTGCATTATCAAATTACAAAAACAGGAATTTGCAATTTTCTATGATTAATTGAAAATTCATTAAACAACACTTTGTTAAGTTTTTGTTTTCAGATTAACAGGACTACATCAAATACTGAATGAACTATAACTGAATCAAAAAGTCAAATAGTGCACAGATATAAGTTCTAACTATATACACATCACATCACATCACATCACATACACACAGATAATCAAAGAACATCTTACTAAGTGAGTCCTCAAGAAGGGATTTATTCATTTCTTCTTCATGCTGCTCTTCCACATCCTCCAAACGTTTCTCCCACAATCTCTCTATCTTCTGTATGTCTTCTTCATGTTCCTTTGTCAGTTGGTCATTGAGTTCCTTCAGAGATTGGACATGTGTCTTCTCTAGCTCTGTCTTCACTAGGTCTAACTGACCAGAGTAGATCTGTTCTAAAGTGATTCTCATCGCCTTCACCTTCAAGTCTACATCTTCCTGCAAAACATAATTTGAATTAATTAATGACAAGCAATGGCTGATTGGTTCTAAGTTATTGCAGGGTAAATGCTGTAACTGCCCACCCATCTAATGTACTATCCCATATTATTAACCTGAATTTTCCATCAGTAAACAGAGCTTAATATCAAAACAGATTATGTACAATTTTTCCTCCAGTAAAAGAGTCTGCAATGTTGGTTTGAAACTGTTCGTTTAGAAGAAGTTTTGGCTATTGATATGTTTGTGTGCCATATTGTAAACTATATCAAAACCACAATTAAGTTTCCCCCTCAAACGTTTTATATTGACATGATTTCTAGGATAGAAGATATATATCAGACCATTTAAGTTAATAAGAACTTATGATACAATATCTAGTGGAATACAATAACATACAAGATATCTTTGCTGTAATGATTCTATTTCTGATGAATGCTGGGTATTCATGACCGATATAATTTCATCCAATTTTTCTTTCTCTGCTGTGTCAAGCTTCTCCATTTTATCTTCACTGCTCTGTTAAAAATAAGATCATTAAATGTTTTTTTTAAGAAAGCAGTTTATTATAGTTTAAAAGCTTTATGAATGGAAATATGTTAAACTTTGATAAAATATAAAATGAAGTCATTCTGCTTACTTGCAACTCTTTCAAGTTTTGTTTTGTTTAGCATTGGGTGTATATCAGTTTGAACACTTGTCATATTTACACCTGGTAAATACATAACACCTTATATAGACAATAACAGTGTATAGCCTTGACATAATAATGATATAAGAATAAGGCTTAGAAACCGAGAAATCAAAGGCTTTGCTGAGTTTTTTTTCTTTTCGTGCTGAATCCTTTTATTGTTATTAAGTCAAGTCAATATATTATTGTCTTTATACAGCAATCTAAAAACAATTTTTTACCCATTTTGTGTTATCATTTTGTTTATCAAAAAATTTGTTTATAACTGCTTTCATAGATTCATCCTAGAAAACACTTCTTTCTTTGAAGAAGTTAAATTGTTACATTTCAAAATTTGTTGTGTAGTTGAAATCAGTTGGATGAAAGAGTGCAGCCAATATCAAAATAGAATATCAACAACGACCAATAAACATAATAATATATACAAATTTCTCATCAAATAAGAAAAGAACAAAAAATTTGAAGGAGAAATGACTTTATGTTGGTGACTGCCTTGCAGAACTGTGAACATTTCATTATGAATTTTAGAGTGGGTGGCATGGCATGATTCTTTATACAATCAGAGACTGTTTATCACATACAATTATAGTCAACACATTTTGACTGCTTAAAAAGAACAGTAGCAGTATAAATTGATTCATTTCGTGTCAATGCTTATATTTTGGCTTGCACAAGGTGATGCTTTTCTTAATTGTCTTCTTTAAACTTAATCTGTTGGTGAACTGATTTGTATTTTAATCTTGGTAATTTTTGTTTATTTATTAATAGAAATTGGGCTTTCACAAAGCTTTCAGTAACTGTGAGTTCTATTTGTTCTGTACTTTTTTTCCCATTTTGTTACTCAGTTGCAGGTGTTTAGAACCAATTTGGTGAGTAATGTCCGTATCTAACTTTACATTTGTGTCCTTGGTCCATAGTTGTCTCATTGGTAATCATATCATATCTCCTTATTTTATATTGTATAGTAATTAGTTTTCTTCATTGAGAGTTTCAGACATTAATCTATGAATAAATGCTTTGGAGCTTTTAATACAGTTTTAAAGCCATTGACATATGCTACCTTGAGAGATTTTAGTGAATGGTTGTCTCATTTACATATCTCCCATCTTTTACTTGTGCAAGCTTTCTGGGACATCAGGAGATATCAATTTGTATGTTTATTACCTGGGTGCATTCCATTTTCTCTGTTCTAGCTTGTCTCTCACTATCCAGTTCTTGTCGGAAACTATTAAGTTGAGATTCATACTGTGTCTTCAATTTTTCAAGCTGTGGAGAGAAAAACAAATAGTTTAATCAAGACAGATAGTTTATTCTGTTGAGTTGGACTGATACTTAACTCAGACATCTTTTTCATTGTAAAAAGACATAATATTGATTCACTTATAGGGTCTTTGCATCGGAATTAAACATATTTATTCTAAAACCAGTTGTTGGCATGACACAGGTTTTGTTCTTCTCATATATTTTATGATGGTATAATACTAAACCCCTAACAGGAGGGATTGTGCCTGATATTCATATGATGAAGACATAATCTTTCAATCAGTTTAATTGAGGTCTGGAGCTGGCATGTCAGTAACTGCTAGTAGTTGTTATTTATGTATTATTGTCATTTTGTTTATTTTCTTTTGTTTCCTATTTTGACATCGGACTCAGACTTCTCTTAAACTGAGTTTTACTGTGCGTACTGTTGTACGTTTGTTTTTTCTACATTGGCTAGAGGTATAGGGGGAGGGTTGAGATCTCAAAAAACATGTTTAACCCCGCCGCATTTTTGCGCCTGTCCCAAGTCAGGAGCCTCTGGCCTTTGTTAGTCTTGTATTATTTTTAATTTTAGTTTCTTGTGTATAATTTGGAGTTTAGTATGGCGTCCATTATCACTGAACTAGTATACATATTTGTTTAGGGGCCAGCTGAAGGACGCCTCCTGGTGCGGGAGTTTCTCGCTGTATTGAAGACCCATTGGTGGCCTTCGGCTGTTGCCTGCTCAATGGTCGGGTTGTTGTCTCTTTGACACATTCCCCATTTCCATTCTCAATTTTATAAGATTTTGTAGGTGCTTAAATTCAGAAAGATGCTTCAGGGTTCTCACTTAGGCGAGTCCATGAGTCCTGAACTCATGAAAATCTGCCTGGACTTATTATTTTCAAATCTGGTGAGTCCAAAGATGCATCAAGATTGTAACATTTTGTATCAACTGAGCAACAAATCATCATTTTATTGCAAAAAATTAAATTTCTCTTAATGTGATGTTCTTTTCTATCTCTTTTTTGTCATGGAACCCTAAATAATGATGAGTCCCGGGAGTCGTCTTCAAAAATCCTTAGTGAGAACCCTGATGCTTACCAAGGCTTGCAAACCTTAATTCTTGAAATCAAATCAGACTTCATACTTAACCATAGGCCTGTAAAATTGCTTTCATGTCTGAAAAATCTCTATAGGCCAACAGCATTTAAATAAAAATAATTCTCCAACTTCTCCATTCACAACAATTTATCATGAGTACTGTAAAAACATGTGCAACTCTTACGGTGAAAAATAACACTCATTCTTTTTCAAAACACTATGTATTATAATGCAGGGATTGAAATTCTGTAATTCATAAGTATCTTAAACCTATAAGGTGAACTTCTTTTTCATTTCAGGGGTTAACAATATCATAAGTAAGCACCTAACAAACCTCAATTTTTGTTTTAAATTCATAGTTGCAGATTTGAAAGGAAATCCTTGCAAAGAAGATATTATATATTATATTTGAAGTTTGCCTTAGGTTCTCAAACTTTGAAAACACATTTAAGCAAAACTAGCAAAAACTGCCACAATGAGATATCTGCTAGTTATAACATCAAATGAACAACAACATTTTCCAAACAAGATATTTTAAATCTTTCAATGTCATTTAAAATAAGGATGATGTGATTTGATATCTTTTGTACAAAAATATAATACAATCACAATTTTTGGTCAAAAAGAGTAAAAATAAGATATTGACAACATTATTCTCACTTTGCAATGATATCTATGTACTGACATGGTAGATTACATAAATATATTCATTTGGCATTTAGGATCATTAAACTGTGATCAGTTTTACAAATTTTATTTTTCATGATTATTTTTTTATATTTTAAGGTCAAATATAATTGTGATATTATATTTTCAAACAGAGAATTACAAACAAAGTATAAAGGAATCATATCTTTAACTTATCTGTGTCATGTATTTCAAAACATATAACTAGCATTGATTTCAATGATAATTGGTTTATGCCACATCAAAAATTGCTTTATCCCAATGAACTCACATTTGAAAGTTCAAGATTTACTTATAAAGAATACTAAATATTTAACAGAGATACTGTTTGTATCCAGAAATGAGTTAAATGTTTTTGAATGTGTTTATTGAAGGAACTTAAGTGTTTTGTTCTGATATTTGCTTATAATCTTATGACCAAGTCAAAATCATTTCAGGGACTACCATTGTCCGTTCTTGTGCCTTTCCAAACACATTTAAAACTTCATTAACCACTATTTCAACAGCTCTCAAAGTCTATTCAAACAATTTTATGGCATACAAATATCAGTTGTAAAAAAACAATTCTTCAAATTCTAGGGTCATTGAATTTTTTTTCTATTTAAAGGTAGCTGCATGTAACCAAATATCAAATTTGAAGAAAGACAACATTTGATTCAAAGCATATTGTCTAATGTACTATATGCCTATTCCCTCTACTTTCAATCTTAATTTCAAAATGGGGAAAAGGGAAAAACTGCAAGCTTTTATTTCAAAGAGAGAAGGGGATTATATTCAGAAAATACATGTCTAAACATAAAACAAAAAGTCCAGCTATATTAGTGTAGTGAGGGTCTCAACCCTGAAAGTCAAGTATTTAGTTTAATGTGAATTTAATAACTGCTTCCTTGTTAATTCCTCACAGACCGTGGCAAAAATAAATAACCTTACCAAGTTTACAATACCTTCAAATGAATAAAAATATTATTTTAAATAAAGTAAAAAAGTACACAGATGGTCTACAAAGGGATTATATCCAAAATATAAACAAGTTTTGGGAAAAGATCAAAAACAATTCATACAAGAAAGACAATTTAATAAAAACACAACAAAGGTTGGAGGTACTTAACACTATGGTGATAAAATTTATCATTTATTATATAACGTTGTAAGTTCAATTGGACTGAAATGATCAATATTTCCAATTATTAGGATGATAAGTAAAAGAATGAGTAATTATATACCAATACAATAGGCATATGAATAACTTGTGATAATCACACTTTTATACATGTTTACATCACAGAACAATTCATCAATTGATGTCATTTTCACCAATATCAATAGCAGTTTTACTGATAAATTATATCCATCTGCTTCATATTCTACTATAGTGACTGTATTCTGGCAAGACTATTTATGTGACCTGATGTACTGAAGCTCCCTTCAAACTTAAAAATATGCCCTCTGAATTTATAAAACAGATCTTATAAATCTTTTTGGCTTTTGGATATATGCTATAACTTGCATGCATTATGAATTTTGAAGTCATTAAGGTCAGTGGGCATAAGAATTCATATACATGTTACATTACACCAAAAAAAATGTTCAAAAGTTATTTGTTAGCAGTTTTTTTTCAAATCAATTCCACAAAAACTAAAAAAACTTTGGGCAAATCTGAAATTTGGATTTTTTTTTTTAATTTCTTACGTAAATCATTAAATATGTATGAATACTGACTGTGTAAGGAAAATAAATACAAAGGGCAATAACTCAAATTATTCTTTAATATTGCAAATTCCACATAAGCCATGTCCAGTCTTGTTGATGTTACAGACTTGTGAGAAGATGATTGTTGGTGTTAATCAATATTAATTACGAAGTCTTATGAAAGTTTAATCATTCAAACATATGATCAGGGGTTTTTTTTTCAAGGGAAAGAGATCAATTTTGGCACTGAAGATGTCAATAAGTAAAAAAAAACACATAATAATCCTGGACTAGCTAGTGAAGATAATTTAACAAAACTCAATTTTTTAACTTTTTATAGTTTGTATTATTTTTTTGTATTCCAATAAGGTTTAATGTCTATAAAAATAAGAAGATGTGATTGCCAATGAGACAACTTTGTCCATTATTGAGAGTTGATTAATTAGCAAACACTCATGAGGAATTGCCTCATATGAAACCTGTGTGTCTCATATTCAGTAGTACCAAATGTAACTAGTTTTTAACTGTTCAAAAAGAAAAAAAATCTAAACAAGTCATATGACTCGTAGCCTTTAATTGATTGGTTAATTTAGTTTACTAAGCCCAAATTCTATCTTGGAACAACTTGACTGAACCATATCTGACAAGTCTTGTTTTTTGTTTTGTTTATAAGGATTTTCTAGGTCACATGTTATTTAAAGTCAAATAATGTAAACCGTGTTGCAGATAAAGCTAGTATTAGACAGTTGACCAAGTTAGCTTATTTGACATTACAATTGTTCAGAAATTTGCATGCCCAGATGCTGAAAAGGGCATTGTTAATTGAAGATAACAAATCAACTGGCTGTGTGTTTTCCACATACAGTTTTATATATATACAAAAAAATCATTTCAATTTAGAGATTTGTCTTCAATAGGCATGAAATATTTTCCACTACAGATGAGATTAGACAGACAACAATCTAACTTTGTTTTAAAACAGAAAATGCTAACAGATACCATCTATATGACATTGTCTCAAGTCCTTCATTTTTCCATGAACTATTGAGTTTATAGAATTGAGCATAATATGTCTTCTTAATGTCATCTTCGATATTTTATGATACTTAATAATGCGTAAGGACTTAAACAAGTAGTTCAATATTTTTTAATTAACAAATTAATCAGGAACTATCAATAGCCCTATCCAATGACACTTCTTTAAGAGATAAACAGGTATAATGAAAGCGTGATTTAAAGACATTTTAAATGGTAAATGATCTTGGTACCGATATGAAACCAAAATTGTTAGAAATTCAATGCTAGTAATTTTTCTCTTTAAGTACTATAAAAGTTAATTTGATTCATGAAGATCATTCAACCAAGTTATAAAAATAAAAGCCTGATAATCTTTTTAAACTTTGTAAAATGCAAGATAAAGCAAGTATGAATTTGGTAGAAAAAGTCTGTGAAAATAAGATCAATCTAAATTTATTTGCTGTACTTATTCAATGCAAAATAGATCACATAATAGATATATCACTTAGTGTAGCTGGACTTATAAA